ACCTGCTCGTCCTGAGTGGTCTTGCTCCTGTGATAGAGCCTTGTTCCTCCTTGACTCCTTTTTATAGGAAAGAAGAAAAGAAAAGAAAAAAGAAGCACTCCTCCATCTGGCACTAGACAGATACACTGGGGCAGCTGCAGGCTGTCTTCATAGGTGTGTGAAGATACTGGCCCAGACCATACTGAATTTTGTGGGTTTAGTTATTGCCAAAGGAAATTCCCAAAAACTGCATGTCATTTCACAGACATTTATTCCAGTGCTTAGGGGTCTATCTGTTTTGATTCTAAAAACAAAAAAAGATGTATGATTCATTGTAAAATGGCTGAAAAGTTTCTTAAGAAATAGCCTTTCTGGATGGAAATGTTAAGATCCATAGTGGCATGCATGAACAAACAGAACTTCCATCAATCTGCCAGAAGTTTATCACCAAATTTGCTTCCAAACCAGTCTCAGGAAAACTCTGATTCTCATTTCAACAACTTCCATTTTCAGTACTGAGCCACTACCATTTTGGCTAACTTTGGAAGCAACAGGTTAATCAAGGTTCTGGTAGCCAAGATGGCATGTACAAGGAAATGGGGACGGGGGGGGGGGGGATCTTTCTTCCTGTCTGGGTGACATAATCTGGCTACTCTCTTCAGAAAGGGCATTAAGACGTTGCAGGAACACAAACTTGAAATCAATTGAGGCAAGAGTTCTGACACAGAATCTAGCATATTTGGGCTGGATATACTACAATGCAGAATGTTCTTCACTGAGGAGACACAGGTGAAGAAAGGGTGTCCTCTGACTGTTCTTCATAGTCTCTGTGCATCACATGTATGGACTCTGTGTCTGTGTGGAGCCTCTCTGTGGGAAGTTTCTAAAGCTGAGAATGTTTTGGCAGAAACCCATCTAACGCACCAACACTGAGGGTAGGAGAGGGCTTCCTGCCCATAACCTCTGTTCCACTTTTACCACAATTGTGTATAGCCTTGGGGAGTTTGTCTGTTTGTAATCAGTAATGATTTTTCAGTTGCTGCTGCTTCTCTGTTTTTACCTCTTGTCTTCTTTTAACATTTCCCTAATTACCCTTTTCCTATCTTTTTTACTGTGCTACTGATCTTTTGCTCTTTTTTCTGTTTAAAAAATATCCCTTCATCCTTCTTTGGAATCTTTGGAAGTATTGTAAACAGATAAAACACAAATAAAATAAACAGTTCTCAATAGAGTTTAGAATATTCTTGACATAACATTAAGCCTAACATTAATTGATGATGATGGAAATGGACCTGGTGCCGGAGAGTGGGAGGTTACTACTGGAGTCACTTTCAAGGGTTTTTTTCTGCAACCATTTTCTTATTCTCATCATAAATGGACTTGTAGCAGCTGAGGACCTCAGTAACTGCATGGTAAACCTTTGTGAACCTCTCCATGTTAAGATCTTGCTCCTCAAACTTTGCCATCCCTACTTCAATGGTATGGTTACAGGGACAAATGCTAAAGAAAAACCAGAGGGGAACTACACGCCTTATACACACCCCAAAACACACTGGCTTGGGTATGCTTCAGCTGGTGCTGTGGAACAAAAAGCTATAAATTACTGTATCTCTAGGGAATTTGGCTTCTACTCCAGATACTTGACAGTACTGAAGCAGGATGGAGGACTATCAATGCCTTCATCCCATTGAAGAAATTTAATATGGGCATATTGCAGAACATTTCTTGCTGTGCAAAGGAGATGCTTATTTCCACTCGAACAGGCATTTCCTATGTTTCCAAATTGGAAGAGAGGCCTTTTGTTTTTTTGTTCTTCCTTTTGGACTACCCACAGCTCCAAGGGTCTTCACAAAGTGTATGGTGGTAGTCTCTGCCCATGTCCACCTACAGGGGATCCAGATTTATCTCCACATGGATGTCTAGCTGATTGTGGCACCATCTAAACAAGATTTGTTTTATTCCCTCAATGCTACAGGTACATATTTGGACAAGTTTGAGCTTTGTATAAACTTAGAAAAATCTCCTTTCCCTGCCACAGCCTAGCTCATCTTGAATTTGGTAAGAGCTTAACTTCTATAACCCAGAGACTTGGTCTTAAGATAACCAACAGTCAGTGAAAGCACCCTGTTGTCACCACCTTTCAAATCCAGTGGCTCCTAGGTTTTATGGCAGCAGTGGTTGTGGTAGTGCTGCTAGTCAGACTGTGGTTGTGTCTTCTGCAGCTATGGTTTATATATCCATATAATCCCATGGACAACCTTCAACAAACTCACCTCTGGATTCCAAAATCCATCTGGATGAGTCTTGAGTGGTAGATGCATCATTACAACCTCACTAAAGGGATTCCTTTTGTCTCCCCCAAGCTGGCTTTCACTAAAAAGTGCTTGCACAGCCCTCACTGCTTTTAAAAACTTTGCTTTCTCATCACTGTTCTCAGATAGCCAAGGCAGCATCACTGTGGTCTTCTATATCCACAAACAGTTTCTCTCTCTGGCCCATCTAGTCATCAGGTTCTGGAATTGGTGTGTCAACAGGGGTTTCATTCTTATAGTCATCCATGTTGCAGGCAGTGACAACACCTTGGATGACAGCCATCCACATTTTGAATTGCACAAATGGCAGTTAGACACCAGCATGCTGAGAGAGATCTTCTCAATGTTGGGGTTGCCTACAGTTAGTCTTTTTGCCACATGAACAAAGCACTATGCCTTAGCTTCTGCTCTCAGGCAGGAGTGGGTAGAGAGTATCTGAGAGACACTGTTCTTCTGATCTGGTTGGGGACATTATTTTACCTATTTTACCCATTTCCTTTGATCATGGGAATGCTAGTGAAGGTTAGTCAAGACAGAATGGACTGCATCATCAATACACCTTGGTGGTCCAAACAGCCATGGTTTGCTCAACTGGTCCAAATACTAGACTGAACCTTCCTTCAGCTCCCATCAAAACTGGAGCTAATCTCTTGGGATCAGAGAAAAGTATTGTACCCAGTCATATGTACCCTGCATTTCATGGCCTGGAGTATTCTTCCCTAGATGCAGAGATTACCACCCTTCCTGAAGAATTGTGCTTGATACTGGATGCCACTTTGAAGCCTTCTATCAAGAGATTCTGTCATGTGAAATGAAAGGTTTTCTGTTCCTTTGCATTGCTTTGCAAAAAGACTCCACTCTGTATTGATGCATGAGAGAACAAATTCTCCTCTTCCTTCACTTTCTGTTTCAGTGGGGACCAGAGACATCCTCCATCCTTGTCTACCTAGCAGCAATCTCAGCCTTCCTTGTACTGACTCAGGGTTTGCCTATTTTTCTCCTCTCTGTCTTGACGGTGGGGGTGGGGGTGGCAAGAATGTCACCCTGTCAACATGCTCTCTAACACTTAATTGGAGTCTCTGTCATTCTGCAAGCCCTTACAAAGACTCTTTATGAACCCATGGTGGTCTACACCTGCTGTCGTGGAAGGTTGCTTTTCTGTTGGTGATTACTTCAGTCCACTGTTTCAGTGAGATAAGCATTCTCAGGGTGGATACTGTATATCTGGTCTTCCATATGGACAAAGTGATGCTACATTTGGACCCCTCTTTCCTCTCTAAGCTTATTTCACATTTTCATATCAACCAGGACATTGTCTTATTAGCCTTTTTTTTTACCTCTGTCCTCGAATTTGATAGATTCAATGTTTCATAAATTGGATGTTTGTTGAGTACTTGCATTCTAATACTCTAGAACTTAAGTCGTTCTGCTCCTCTTGAAATTTTTTTATTTGCTTACAAAGGGAAAAATAAAAGGACTTTCTGTGTCTTCTCAGACACTAGCAGCCTGGGTGATACAGTCTTCTGGGCTTATGAGCTTGCCAATATATAGCTCTCAGGACCATTGAAGATGCACTCTACTCAGGCAATGACACCATGCACTGCTCTACGCACTGGAATTTCCCTCCCTGATCTCTGTAGAGCACCCACTTGGTCTATCCCATTGACCTTTGTGAAGCACTGCAAGCTCAGTGTTGGTGTCCGAGCAGATTGTGCCTTCAGGAGGGCAGCCCTTTCTTCAGTTTTACAATAATGACACTGGATTACTTCCAGGAAGGTAAGCTTGCTAATCAACCATATGTGTGTTGCACAGGGACCATGAAGAAGAAGGGTTGCTTACATGTAACTGTCATTCTTCAGTGGTCATCTGTGCATTCATACAACCCACCCACTGTCCCTGCTTTGGTGTCATACTTATCTAATACACAGTGATCATTTTTTACTATTGTTGAGGTTGGCCTGTCAGATCCTACCTCTATTCCAAAGCCACAATGAAGGTCTTGAGTGAACCGAGGGCGTGAACTGAAGGACTGAACTGAGGGAATGGGCAGGAGCCCCTCTAATAGAACCATGAGGAGGAGAGGGGTTCCTGCCAGAACTCTCAGTTCTAGAAACTTCCTGAAAGCAGGCTTCATGCAGACACAGAGCTTGTATGTGAGAATGCATAGATGGCCACTGGAAGAATGGCAGTCACAGGTCTCCTCCGGTCATGTTCTTTTCTCTCTTAGTTACAGTAAGGAACTATTTAAACTTAATGGTGGTCTCTTAACTGTTTGTCAGCTGGGTCCCCTCCCGCTCAAGTTTGAGCTGGCCATTTCTGCCTTACCCAGACCAGGAGTGCGAGGCTGCTGTTCCCCAGGAAGAAGCAGTTCTAGGATTTTGATCTTGGCTCCTGATACAGGGGAAGGCATTATCCCAGTGTTTCTAAATGTCTTCCAGGAGTCTGAGAAAATAGGAATACATAGGCAGAAATTTCAATATTCCATTCAGATGTTGGTATTCCATTCAAACTAAGGGCATTTGCATCAAATTACCATCCTGTGGACGTATTAATGATACTAGCATCAGTAATGCTTGATCTGTGCTGAGTTCTTAATGTGGTATTCACAATGTAGCTCCAGCTGTTTGCAAATACATTAGGACAGTTGCTCTAATGAAAGATACCAATAACAGGTATATTTTTTCATGGCATTGTTTTATTTTCTTCTAGACATGTTTTATTTCTATAGATGATTTGCTTGAAGCTTTTGATACATTTCTAGAACCACCTTCATTAGAATATAAAATATGGCTGAAACTTGCTCTTGATGTTACTCTCAAAACTTTCAAAGAAAATCTTCCTAACCAGGTAAGTGTGTATATTTAATAACTAATACATCAATGTTATCCACTATCATGTTTAACAAGATTCATGTATGTTGAGCATTTTTAAATGGTTAATAATGTACACATGCATATATTTTAGGGTGATAGTGTTGCTTTCTACCTCATTTAGTCACCCTTGATATTTTTTCTCTTTTTAAAAATGTTATTCATTTATTGTAATAGTAAATTATGAATAATTAATGAAAATTATTCAACAGCTTCAGTCAACCTATAACACCTTCAGATTATAAGTAGATAAATATTATTGTGAGAATGTACTTCAAAATGCAATAGCACAATAGTATTACAACACAAATAAATCAGACGTTAAAAATATGATATTTAAACAACATTAAATCATACGCAGGCACACAAAGTGATCATTTCAAAAAGAAATAGATTTCTTTCTTCTATGTACTTGTTATCTTGATGTCTTACCTTGCTAGTTTTAATTATGTCAATTAATTTGATCACATGTACCCTGTCCCACAGTCCATTAATGTATTAAATAATGGAGGATTAGTTTTTTTCAAATATAAGGAATGGCTGTGTGAGCTTTTAACATATGCACAAATATTTCAATGTCCTTCAGTATTATATCATACCTTGACATCTCTCTCATTTATTTCAAGATTGGTACCCAATAAAATCTGATTTTTAAGCATGACCCCCCCCCCCCCCCCCAAATCATTTCTGCTTTCAACTAGCCAAATTCCCAACATTTACACTCAAGCCTGCTCTGGCTCAGAACCCAGATTAAATTGAATACGTTCTTAAAACATAACCTTAAGATAACAGATGCCCTGGATCCTCTGCTTTCTGTGCAATCTCTATTGAAAGCTTAGCATTTAAGGCTGTATCATAAAATGAAAAAGAAAAATAATAGCCAAAATAAAACCCAGCAGCAATGCAAAGGTTTAAAGTACAGGTAACACATTTAATCAATGAATTGCTGATATAGCTGATGTGATACAATGAAGTCTTTGTGTGTGTGTGTTGTCTTAAATATTTACCTGAATGAATTATGATTGTATACAAGCTTATTGATTTGATACTTCATTAATAAATGTATAACAGTATTGGAAAAATAATTTTGAATTCACAGAATACTTTCAACAGTGTTATGTTGCAACTTTTATAAAATATTGCAGAATACATATATGGCTTTGTCTTGTAGGATTGGTCCTACAAGGTGTGCGTGCAATTTTCTAACATGTATGTGTTGGATGTACCAAACCACACCAAATGTGACATTTATGATGGGGCTATGGATGATGTCATTCTTGTACATGGAGCTGTACAAGATTGTCAACTGGGACAGCGATATTGTGCACCATGCATTTTGCCAAAAACCTGCCATCAGGTAAGGAAATATTTTAAAACTAGCTCTTCATTACTGGAAATGGGAAGGCACACATTCCAGAAAAAGGGAAAAAACCCATAACAAAGAAGGAAAAAGGCATAGCCATTGTTGTTCTCAATTTTTTTCATGGATGGAGAAGCATTTCTATCTTTAGTATTAGATTGGAGGTGCACTTGGTTTAGCTCAGATTGTGTTATTTATTTATTTTATCATTTATTGATTATATCCTTGATTAAGGTTGATTATATTCATGAAATATGCCTTTTATTTACAATTTCACACTACACCAAACCACAAAAAGGCGCCTATTGACATATTTGGAAGAATATGCTTATTGACAGATGTGGCTGAACTGCAGTTTAGTATTTTCTAGAAGTTGTATGAAAACAGGCTGCTGGCTGGGAGAGGTGTCCTGTCATTAACAAATAAGGGGATTGTATTGCTCCCAGGATCAGACCGGTTTGTATTCTATGTAAAGCCCTTTACCTTAGTGCTAGAAGAATGAATTTATATAATTTCAACAGTAACTGTTACTTATGGGAAAATTGTAGGTACAAGGCACTGCATCTGCAACAAAACTACTCGTTATACGAACAACAGAGCATGGAGCACGAAAGAGCACTGAAACATGTAGTAGCATTTGCCATTATCATTCAACTCGGAGACATGGTGAGAAAGTTCTTGAAAACCTTAAACTAGCAAACTAACAGAAATGTGTACTTCTGGCTTCATTTCCTCTGTTTGAAAACAATAGCAGAATTCCAGCACTATCTATTATCATAGGAAACGTTGTAGAGCAAACTTTCCTGCCCCTGTTCATGCTCTTGCATTCTCTCTTCTTGTTTGTAGTGGTCACAGTTAAGGTTTTTAAGTGAAAGGAGAAATGTCACTTTGCAAATTTAATGATTGTTATTTTATGGTTTTGAATGTAGTTCCTTATGAACTTGGTGTGGACATCACCTTCCAAGGTGTGCTGCTTGCCATGCTACGTTTTCCATTCTTCCCTTTTTACCCTCAGCAACTTCCCTCTTTCAGAGAGTCATTGGGAATTCACAAACTATGCTTAAAGGAGAAACATCTGGCCAAATTCCCAGATGCTGCTATACAAGCTTCAGCCCAGTCTCCTTATTTCCCTTAGTTTACTGTATGTAGCATCAGTTATGTAATTAGGCACTTGGAAGATAATGCTGAGGGTGTTTAGATAGGCAAACAATCTCCAAGTCCATTGATAAATATTTTAACATAAAGGGAGAAAGGGATAATACAGATCAAAGCACAGTAGAAAATAAAATAGCTTCTACCTAGCCTGTATTGCATATAAACCTAGATTCTACAACTTATGTGTTAATTGTACAGTTTCCAACAGGTTGTTTGTTATAAACACCACAACTGTAGGGATGCCTAAAGAAACAACTGATGGTTGTTGGCCATTGCAGAAGATAGGAGAGCTGAAAACCACATTATTGTTACCCCTTTGCCAGTGACTGATACAGCATTAAATAAAGCCCTTGTCCTCTGTCTTGGAGAAAAGTTGTGTTGCTCTGTTAGCTTCTCTGGTCTGAAGATTCTCTTTCAGATGTTGTACCCTACTCAGAGAGTTTTGGCTACAGGAAGATACAAGTTGCATATGTTCTTTCAAGAAAGTATGAGTGGAATCCTACGCATCTTTAGGAAGAGAAAAGTCCTACAAGCTGCAGCATGGACCAACCAGCATGGGTGGCTGGGTCATGCTGGGAACTATAGAACTTTTTTCTCATTTAGCATACATAGGATCATGCCCTAAATGTCAGTAAATTCTTTTGTCTTCCCTATTCAGTCATTTTAAATGTTTTAATTTACTTATCTCCACAACCCACTGGGTTGAAGTTATAAAAAAGCTGTAAAAGTTACATTGAACTGCTTCAACATAATTGCAAAAGTAGCCTTTTACTTCTGCTAAAATGCAATTAAAAGTACTATTTTGGGCTAGTGACTGAAGTTAAACATTGTTCAAACACAGCAGTACTCTTCAGCTAGAAACAGTCTGGGCTTTTGTAAACTTTTGAGCCACTGTCAGTACAGAGTTTTATAAAGTAAAGAAAACTTGACTCTTATTTTAAATAACATGCCATTTCTGTAGGTTATAAACACAAAGTAATTTTTCAGAATCAGTAGAACAGGATGAGCGTGAAGAAATTCTGTATTTTAATATTGTGCAATAATTTAGTAAAATCTTAAGAAATAAAATAACTTGTTTTTGTAACTGTTTTCAAAACAGCCACCATGGGACACATTTTTGCATTGGACAGTCGCAGTACGATAAACTCTGATTTAGTAAGTATACTAAATTTAAGCCAATTTCAGGTCAGTTTCATGCAGTGTTAAGAATTTAGTAAGATATTTTGGAAAATTGTATTCAAAACTATGGGAAGGTATATTCAAATTCAAACAATTAGTTTTATTGTACCATATAGGAAATTCTTGTTTGACCACAAGATCACCTTTGTTTTGTGGGGGAGGGCAGGGCAGGGCTGCCCTATGAACTGCTAGTGATTTCAGTGAGTTAGAACGTGATGGAAAGAGCAGAGAAGCAGAAGTCTTGTGGAAATACAGCACTAGGCAGATTCCCACATGAAGGTAAGTATGCCCATTGAATCCCTGTGGACTTAAGTGTCTTTCCCTCTTTGCTGCATTGTGGCCAATGAATTACATATTTTGAAAACGGAAAGCTTGATCGTATTGGTTTCTCTGCGTACACAAGACTGTATTGCACAGCTGGAAAGGAAAATACAGCTTTACATTCTGAACTCCCACAAGCACCTTTTGTGCAGATGTGTAACTGAAGCACTATTATGAACAATTTGGCAAAGTTTCTCAACTCAGTATTTCACACTCACCACTGTCCTGTGGCAGGAAGTTTTAGCCTTTTTCAGGATCAATAATGTGTAGAGACAGTACTTCTATGTTCCAAACTCTTCAAGCATGATGCTTAATTTTTTTGTCTTGACTTTCCAATTCTGGACTTGACCCCTTCAATCTGGCTTCACTGAAACTGCCATCAAAAATTAGCAATTACCTTCTGACTGCCAAATCTAAATAAACTCGGCTAAATCAACTCTGTTGCCTTTGATATAATTGATCATTCTGTCTTGCTTGATTTGATTACTCTGTCCTTGATTCACTTCCTTTATGCCATTGGCCTCTAGTACACTGCGGATGATTCTCTTTTTAATTATTCTTTCAGGGTTTCTACAGGGTGACGCTCCTCCTCTGCATTCCTTCTCTCTGTTAATTGTCTCAAGAGGGGACCATTTTTGCCATCTGCTAATCTTTCTCTATACACTTAACATGCTGATGAAACCCAGTTCCTCCCTGCTTCACCAGAGCTTTCTCTCTTCTTCCTGCATCTCCAACTAACTGCCTGTCTCAACTGCCTTAGATGTGGCATCATTGGTACTGAAGATAATTGATCTGAGACAAAGCACTCCTCATACGTATCCGTTGATCATGTCACCACTCAGCCTGCCAGAACAGGGACAAAGCCTTGACTTTATTGGACACCTTTCTCTCCTTGGTTATTTGCATTCAGTCTCTTGTCAAATTTTTTGTTTCTTCCATTGGCACAACTAAAAGGAGGAGTTGGAAGATGTGCAGAAAAGACCAATTAAAATTATCAAGGGGCTGAAGTGGGAAAGTTCATAACAGCTGAGATTATTTAGCTTTAAACAAAGTAGGGAGAGACACAATAGAGACATGCAGAATTATGCATGGTAAGGACAAAGTAGAAAAGGAGAAGTCTCCTTGTCTCATAATACTGAAAGCTGGGGTCATTTGGTAAAGCTGATCAATGGAAATTCAGGACAAATAACAGGTAACTATGGAATGAATGTAGCGATGACCACCAATTTGGATGGCTACATGCCACTACCAGTATCAGAGGCGGTATTTCTGTGTACACTCAGTGGGAAACGTAGGTAGCTTGCAGGTTTCCCATGGGCAGCTGTTTGGTCATTGTGTGAACAGTATGCTGGAGAAGTTAGACTTCAGCATGATCCAGCATGAATCTTCTGTTCTTGTACTAGTTGTTACATTCTGTAAAGTTGTCTCTTACTTAATGGCAGCTCTTAGAAGGCAGCCCCTCCAAAATGTCTTGTGCTTGACAGCCCTGCTCAGTTCTTGTAAACTCGAAGCCATGGCTTCCTTTATGGAATCAATCCATCTCATATCTGGTCTTCTTCTTCTGCCTTCAATTTTCCCTCACATGATTGTCTTCAGTAGTGAGCCTTGCCTTCTCATGATGCAGCCAGAGTATGATAGGTTCAGTTTTATTATTTTTGCTTCCAGGGAACCAAAATCAAATTTGATTTGATCTGGGACTTATTTGTTGTTCTTTTGGTTCAGGGTATTCTCAAAGCTCTCGCAATTTTTCTCCTGGCAGCTTTCTTCACTGTCTAGCTTTCACACATATACATAGTGATCAGGAATACAAGAATGTGGATGCTCTTGGCTGTGGCCTCCAGTGAAACATCCTTACACCTGATGATCTTTCCTAGTCCCTTCGTTGCTGCTTTTCCCAGTCACTCTCTTCAAATTTCTTGCTTGCATACTCCCTTTGAAATGATGGTGAGAAGGTATGCTAAATCTTTCGGTTTCTTCATTGTTGACCTTAATGACTTAAAGTTAGTCATTAGTTTGTTTGCTTAATGTTCAGCTGCAATCCTGCTTTTGCTGCACTTTCTTCTTTCACTTTTATGAGGACACATTTCAGTTCACTGCTGCTTTCTGCCAGTACTGTTATCATCTGCATATCTGAAATTATTGATGTGCTGATTTTCACTCCTCCTTTCTCTGATGCTAATGCAACCTTTCCTCATGCACCCATTTCTTTCAGGACTATCCATAGCTTCTCATGATTCATACAATCAAAGGCTTTGCAGTGGACTATAAAGCATAGACTGATTCTTTGATGTGCTCCAGTTGCTAAGATAGATTTGCAACATGATCTCAAGTGCCACTTTGTGAACCTGCCCTCGGAGGGGTACATTGAACCCACCCTCTCCCATAGTCTCCACATTCAGAAGACTCTGAAAGTTAAACTCAGCCAGCCTTTATTTATAAATATTTGTCACTTGTTTACTCACTAAGGCCCTTCCAGCCTATAGGTTCCTGTTCAGAGTAGACATATGCCTCCCTTTCCCCTTCCTGGATTTGCATCCACAGAATGACCAACACCCTTTGTTTGAGGTCCTTGCCCCTTTGGTGGCACCTCTCCTTGGAGCAAGACTTATTTGTTCTTGTGGGAGAGGCTTCCCCAGTCACTCTACACTTCCTCCTTCCACACAAGGTGTCAAGTCCAGATTTGGACATACCCACAGTCCGTCTGCCTCTTTCTGCTGGGTCCTTCCAGACTCCTTGCCAAAGGTAGCCAGGGGACTGCCTTCTTCCGTCATGGTACACAGCAGTTCCCTCTCTTCCTTCCAGCCCCTTCTCTCTGCCCACTTCTTCCTGCTACATCCCAGTACTTAATAGCCTGCTCTTCCTTAGCCCCAGCTATTGCTGGTGAAATTTCCCTCTCCCCTAGCTGGCTTAGTCTGCCCTTATTAACTTGAGGCATTTCAGGCAGGCCTTCATTTTGCCTTTATACTCACATCTGGCTGCTTGGAAATCTACAGGCAGAGCATGAGGATGACTTGACTGGTGCGTCCTGGTGCTCTGTTGCACTCTTTTCAGAACCCAGTTTGAACTACAGGCATTTCTTCTTATAGGGTAAAATTATTTGTTGCAACACCTTGAGTATCACTTTGCTTGCATGGGAAATTAGTGCAGTGGTGCAGTAGTTACTGCAGTCTTTACAATCTCATTTCCTGGGACTCACTGGAATGTATACTGAACATTTCCAATTTGTGGGCCAGTCTTTTGTTTTCCAGACTTGTCAGCATATTCTTGTTAGGATTTGGACTGATTCAGTCTCTGCAGCCTTGAATATTCCTATTGGTATCCTATCTACTCTGGATACTTTGTTCATTCCTAATCTATTCCAGATGCTTTATTCTTCCTTTTCAGAGCAGTTTTACTTTACTTTTCTTCTTCCTCATAGGATACCTCTTGGAAGGAGTCTGTCATCCTTTTGTCTCTTCTGTACATTGTCTCCATCTTCTCCTTGTTTTATCCTTGTCAGATACTCTGTTCCCCTGTTGGTCTTTCAGCATTCCTAGTCTAGGTTTGAATTTCCCTTTGATTTCTTGAATTGTCTGGAAAGAGGTCTTGTGTTTTTCCTCTTTTGTTGTTCCTGTCTGATCCTTTGCACTTGTCATTGTAATTATTCTTTTTGTCTTTTCAGCAACATGATAGTTGCTGAAAATTGCAATTCTTCCGTCATCCATCTAGTCTTTTTCCATCTTCTCACTACAGGAAAATTGTCTTTGCATTCTTCCTTAAAAATATCTCTGGTTTCAGTCCACAGTTCATAATGGACTTTAAATTCCTCAAGAATGTTATTTAAATTGCGTTTTGGCACAATGCATTTGTTAGTGATCTTTTCCAGCCTAACTTTGTTTTTTGATATTAAGAGTTCATGGCCTAACAATCTGCTCCTAAGGTTTCTTAATCACCTATTTCCAATTACACAGCCTATTTGAGTTCTGTACTGGCCATCTGGTGATGTCCATGTGTATAGTTGCATGATTGGTCACCTGAGCTTTACAGAATTCGAGTCATTCTTATAGTTGCTCTGTGTTATATTTCTGACCTCTTAACCAAATTATTTCACAACACTGGATTCTGCTTTTGTTTCTTTTGAGTTTCAGTAACCTGTGATTATCAGCATGTCTTGTTTTGGTGTTAACAATTTTCCTCTTCGGCATTCACGTTTTCCATTTTTTTTTCTTGAGCATCTGTTCTTGTAGCACGGACTTCTGGTTTTCCCAGCATTCTGATAAATTTTGTTTATAGCTTCTTACTGCTTATGCTACATTGCCTCATTACAGCCACTCTGATTCTTACGACTTTGTCATTTTCAGAGTAAAACACTCTCTTTGAAAATGACCCATTCCAATTGACTTTAGCTCAATTACTACCATGCACTGTAGTTCAGCCATTCCAGTTCTTACTTTACAGTTTCAGCTTGCCTTGATTTGTACTTTAACATTCCACATTCTGTATGTTGTGCAGCATTGCACTTTGCTCTTGCCACTGTGCATATTAGCCACTGGTCTTCCTTTCAGCAATCATCTAGTTACGTCATGACAGTGCTATCATTCTTGTCCTTTGCAAGTACCTTCTAACATGCAAGTCGCCTCTTCTGGTACTATCTTTTGCTTCGTTTTGATTACTTCATTTTGATTTGGTTTTCAAGGTAAGAAATCTTCAAAAATGGTTTACCATTGCCTTCCACTACACAGCACTAACCAGATTACCTGGAGCTTCACTGCTGTTGTCTATGAAAGATCATCCAGCAGTGTTACCTTCAACTACTGCTGCTGCCCAGTAGCTGCCCTTAAGAGGGTAAATGCACTGTAATCTGGGGTCTCAGCAGTTGGCCTCCTGAGTATTTTGTGGCTGGGTGTGCCACCCATTTTAAACAGGCAAGCCTCCCATGGCCCCACACTTCTTGCTCAAAATTCTAATTGTGCTGGTTCACTTAAAAATACTGTGGAGCTCTGCTCTTGTGTACCATTCTTTTCAGTCTTTAAGAGATTCTCAGTGAGACCACCAAATGGGTTAAAATTGGCTTAATGCTTACATTCTTACTAGATCATTGATCTCTTTCCAATCTCATATATGGGGGCAAAAGTGACAAACCCAATAACAGGTTTCACTACAGAAGCAGCTAGTCTGAAAATATATCAATATTGTCTAGTAATTTGTACCAGATTTATTAAATTGGATTTTTATGTAGATAGTGCATCCAAAATATACAAACATGATTTTACTTCTGCACAGGAATATACATATGTGAGCTCCCAAAATGCCAGCTTGAGAAGAGTTTAATGAGAAATGCACATCATGTTCCAGTAGCACAGAACAAAGATATGAGATTCTGTAGAGAAAGAAGGCATAAAAAAAATCAGCTTCCTGATGGAACAATTGCATTACTTCATTTGTATTTTTGCAACTATTTAATATTTTACAAGTTTTACAAATTTGGGGGGACAAGACTACTAATAAAACCAAAGTTTAGTATATAAACACAAAATAGACAGTTTAAATTGTTGTTAACAATGAGTTTTTGAATATGTTATTTCAGCTGTTATAATCTGTAAAATAAATTTTCTAAGAAAAATTCAGAATGTTCATATCACTATGACAGAAGAACAATGCATACTGTTTCCCATTTTGAAATTTACGTATTTCTTACTAATTGATTGCGCTAAACAATGCAAGCCATTGGTCTGCAACTCAATAAAACTTCAACTATAACGGATCATCAAGACATTCAAGATGCTTGAGGCTTTTTAAAAAGGTAGGCAGCCTGCCTCAGTTGTTACATGAAAAGCTTTCACTGTTTGAGAAAAGAAGTTTCTCCAGGTTCCTGGTACAAATGCAGTCCCAGTATTTTTCCTACATCGCATGTAAATTCCGTGTTTGTAAAAAGCTGCTCAATTATGAAAAGTCAGACTATGCAGCTAACCTACACAGATCAAATGTTTGTGCATGTGCACAACCAACATTTTTATTAAAGAATTTTCACTTATCCTGTATTTAATAATTTTAACCATTTGTGTTCTAAGTTAGTTTGTACCACGGTCAAATATTCAGTCACCTGCATTTGCACACAGATGTGAGATAGCAGCCGTTTCAGATCTGAAAATGATTTATGTATATTAGTCCATAAATAGTGTAAATATTGCTCTTTATTTACATATGCATGTTTGTGAAAAGTTGATATGTTGCTGCACATAAAACAAGTAAAAAGTCCCTGTTACATTCAAAGGAATTTTTCACATAATATTAGAAAATCAGGGAAGAACCTGCAATTTTAAAAGATAGAATCTGGTGCATACCACTTTCTAATCCACTGTTCCCAATTCTCCCTGCTGAGTTCATTGTAGCGGTGAGGGAAGTGCAAGTTCAAAACTGCTTAATGTTTTCACATCTTTCTAGCATGAGTAAGAATTTAACAGCAGCAATAAACTATGTAACATACAATTCCTTTGATGAAGAAACCTGATGCTCCTAGTGCATTGTTTTAAGCAAGTGTGTGTAATGTGGGTTATCCCCTTAATGCATTCTTTTGAGACAGTACTTAAGGATATACAAAGATCATCTATTAATTGAAAGCCATTTACTTTAGCTGCCATCTGCTTCTACTGTAACATGAGAAATGGGATGTTGCGATTTCCCCAGCAGTGGTAGCTATAAGTGATAGGCGGCTGCAGGCACCTAAACTGCAGTAGTTGAGGCTGGTGGGGAAATAGCATGTGCAATCTTTTTTCACATCCTCTAGAGTCCTCCAGTATAACTGGCCCATTTATTTGAAATAAAGGCAGACATGCTACATGAATGCTGTTTTCTTTGAAATCTTAAGAAATGAGGATAGAAGAAAAGTACCAGTATACATTTGTCTTTATTTCTGTATGCAATGTAGTATTAGGCACATAGCTTGGGACACTTTCTAAAATAAGTCATTGGCCATTGTTTAGAGTATCCTTTTGGCTTTTAAATACTGGTCAGGAAAACAAATGATGTAAAAATAAATGAATAACTTTCTATTAAAGAAATAAAAATGGATTTGCATCTAAAAGTGCAAGAGGTGAAGTACTTTAACCCTTCCACCAGATAATGTGCAATATACATTATATTGCTTCTGTTTGAGAAGGCGGTTGGAATTTTATGACATAGAAAATTATAAATTACAATTAGTTTCCATAATCACTATATATATATACACAAGCCAGGTATGAAAAAAACGGTTTAAAACTTACAAATGAAAAATTTCACACAGATCAAAACAGTGAAAGTATAACAATTAACATGCTCAAGTGCCCAATTTTGATATTTAAAGATATTATACCTTTAAAATACATGAACTGTAATTACATGAGCAGCATGGGCATTTCATTATATTTAGTTGATTTGTCAAAAGAATGACAGTGTTTTAAATATGAAGATTGTTCCAAAATGTTTAATTTTATAATGCTCTGAATTAAAGTACATCTTGGTGAATGGGTTAAAAAGTAGGTGAATCACTTAAAAATACACAACAAGCCATGTGCACTTCAAAATATTATAGTGTTTCACCTGTAAGGTATTGTTTCAAGCAAACAAGACTTAACAGAACATATGGCTTTACAATAACATCAATTTGTCAACTAAGTTGTAGCAATAAATACTTAAAATCTCTACCAATAGACTTACATTTTGATCTGGTTTAAACAATACGGGAAACAATTACCAATTGAAAGCCTGCTGTAAAATGCTGAACACCAAAAATTCCTTTTGAATCATTGTTTAAATCTAAAACAATCAAAACATTTAAAGGGCATTGCATCTGAACAATTCTTTGCCGAACTGAAAGAAACATGGACTTCAGGATTTTTTAGGGTGAAAATATTATGAAAACTGCTAAATACTTTGGTCACTAATTGTCAAATAGTTATGCCTCAAATACATTAGAATTGTGTATTCACTTTTTTATAAAACTATTCTTACAGCCATTTTAACTATAGTATCACTACTATTGTTACGTGGGTAGCAAGATCTTATTTCACAGGCCACCCATCATTTAGAACAATACAATATAAACATACGCAAAAAAATTCTTGGTATTTCTCAATGTGCAATTTTTACACTTATGAATTTCTGTACAATGTCTTAAAATCTAGAATATAAATGTTGCTGGTCCTGATCCCTTGTGAATTTAGTGCAGCAGTGACTGGCTCCAATAGGCTCTAGATGAAATCCTCAAGAGACCCAAATCCTTGGATATCAGTTCATAAGCTTCAGCCAACGGCAGTCGAAATCACATATCATACAGGGCCATTAACAGATGCCTCTGATAGAAGAGCTTGCTGATCTGTCCTATGGAGTCAAGCAGAAGATCTAAGCATCACCTTAACATTAAACAGTATAAATAAAGCCAGCAAATAAACACACTGCTTCATGTCCTCAAGCTATACTTCAGGTGGAGCCACTGGCTTTGTAGAAGAGTGTGGAAATCTGAAGGAGGAGAGCTGGCACAATTTAAGTGTGTGCATCCTTTCATTCATATCTTTGATTTGTTTTGGATGACTTTCCTAGCAGACCACAATATAGCACTTCAGTGTTCTGCCTACAGTGTATGGCTACACTCCTCATACATTTTATTTGATTTATACCTGCCTTTTCTTTTTTAAAGAACTCAAAGCAGCTTATATCATTGGCCTCATCCTGTTCTCAATCGTATCCCCACAACAATAGCCCTGTGAGGTAGGTTGGGTTGAGACTGTCCCAAAATCACCCAGTTGGCTCCACGGCTGAGTGGGATCTAGAACCCAGACTGCCCAAGTCGTAGTCCCATGCTCTTAATCACTACGCCACACCGACTCTTCATTTTCCACTCAAGGGTTGCTGGCCTATCTTGCTCTGTGTTTTGGTTCCTCCTCTTTGCAAACTGCTTTCATTCCAACTGGACAATCAACAACTTCTGTCTGTAGTATAACCATTGCAGCTACATTACAACTTCCTATAGTAAGTACAACTCCCTACAGTAAGTACATAAGAATTAACACCTGAATTTTCCAACTCATCCCCTTTTCCATTTGTGGCCCTTTTTTAGGTTGTAAGCATGAGGGCATCAATGGAAACATTGGGTAGTTTCAATAAACTTTCTTTTCAGGGAAGCCAACATTCAACTTGCTGGGAACAAAGAATGCATTGTTTGTATCATGGGTCTTCAAACTACGGCCCGCGGGCCAGATCCAGCCTGCCTCAGAGGTGTTGGACTCTCTGCGCCTGCTTCGCCATGTGAGCAAGCTGCTGCCTCACCACGTGTGGGGTGAGGCGGCAGCTTGCTCGCTCGATTGTTTTGAACTCAATCAGAGATCTTACCAGGCTGCGCCCTCTGCCGCCGCCTTGCAACTGGCCCCCTGTTGAAAAAGTTTGAGGACCCCTGGTTTATACCCTGCCTTTTTCAAGTAACTCAAGATGGATTACACAGTCCTCCTCCTCCTCTCAAATCTTGCCCTCAACTACTCTAAGAGGTAGATTAGGTTGAGAGTCAGTGACTGGCCCAAAGTCACCCAGTGAACTTGTGAACCACCCGGATAGCTTCATCTAGTGGGTGGTAATATAAAAGATGCTACCTTCCAAATTTCTGCTAGTTTTGCATTATTGGAGAAAGTTACCAAGGCAGCTGTGGGGGTCTAGCACTGAAAGGATTCCAGCTCTGTGTCCAGAAATTCAGTGGACATACTTGCAATCGGGAAGGGCACCTGGAGTGACAGAAACTGAAGTAAGGTCATTTACAGTTGCACAAGACAACTTTGGGGCTTTAAGAACAGTATGTGTATTCCAGAATGAAAATCTAAGTTGCACTAGAATTCTGCACCATCAAGAAAATGTTTCAGGTATTTGGAGGGTGGGGAGGGAGGAGATGGGCTGCCAAGGCAACATTCCTAGACTGGTAAGCTAAATGTAAGGGTAGAGCTCTGTCTGCACAAGGGGTTGGGCTGCAGACCCAAGTGGAGTTGCATATGCAGGAAGGGAAGAAAGGCCTTGGAGTAAGAACTTCCTTTCCTAGTAGATGAAGGATTTCTGGATCACTTCATAAATATACAAGGTGAATGGTCTCTGAAGAAAGCAAGGTGGCTGTCACCTCACAGAAGCCAATGCTGTAACAGCTCTCAGCTCAGCCTCCATGTGGCTAAGTGGAGCCCCCTGAGATCTAGGTACTGGATGGACCCTTGGGTGAGTTGGTCCAGCCTGCCGATCAGGAAAAAAGAGGTCAGTGTAGGTTAGTTGCAGGATTCCTGCAAACTACAGTCCCCTTGGCCACTGGAGACTACCTCAGACCTGGCCTTCAAAATCCTGGAAAAAAGAATGGGCAGGAACAAGTATAATGGATCCAGAGGCCATGGAATTAAAAGCACATCCTGCAAAAAGGGAAGCAGCTTGCTTTTGGGGAGATGCAAGTGTACATAAGCATTATGCTGGACCAGGCGCAGATCACTGGTCCTGATTTAAAAAATTGGCTGCTAAGGAAATTGGCAATTATGTTGAAGATGCTGATTGTGTTTGCCTGAGATTGATGATAATGGACTGTGCCACCCACTTGAGAAATTCTGAAACTGGGATCTTGTGCCCATTTGATGGTTGAGGTCAGCCTCTGCAGACCCACTGCTTGTTTATATGAGGCCATAATGGTTGGCGAATATGGGGGGAAAGGTTTTTTTGGGGGGGGGGGGGAGACTGCTCAAAGTTTCAAGTTGACACTGTGGCTGGTCTCCCATGCAGACCAAGCTCCCTCTACTATTTGATTCTGGCAACTGAGGTTTCCCACCCTGGTGGAATTCTACAGTGTTTTCTATCTTCCCAGGATTCAAACTCAATTTATAGGCTTCATCTAGTCCATCACTGCATCCAGTGACCAGCGCAAAGACTGTGTGGTCACCCGTGACTTAAGTGTTAGAGAACAGGGCTAGGTTATGTGGCAACCTAGCCCTCCTACTTTAAAAACGGATTGCTGTGTAATGTGTTTCTGTTGGTGCGTAATACTGTGGATTGTAAAGAGTGGCTTAACAGAGTGCATGTCTCCCCCCCCCCCCCCGCTACTGTGCATTTAGTCATTTGGGCGAGTTAATGATCCTTTGCTGCAGTTCCTTGGGCAGCTATTTTATGGTGTCCCACTGGCTTCACACAGCATTTGAACAGCATGCTGAAAGCAATAGTAAGCCAACCAGAAATATCCCCTGTGCAGGAGTCTGGTAGCAAACCTCCATGTAGTCTACTGAAGCAAGGAATACATTGCTGTGGAAAGCTTCCTGAATGTTTCCATCTAGAACTTGTAATATATTCTAAACTTATTTCCATACTTGAAGGGCAGCCCTCCAATTTTCTAGCTTTTTCAGGCGTACAAAGAGTAACGGGATGCCCATGGGAGCAAGGGGTGCAGCCTGCCCTGCAACCTCTATATCTAGCAGCCTGATTGCCTGGACTATGATTGCCCATTTGGCCTAGAGCTTTGAGACAAGAGTGAGCAGAGATCTGTCCATAGGCAGGTGGGTACTCTAGCCAATAGCTTTGAAACTTCCAAATGTCCAAAAGCACAAGAGGTCAACTGTGCACTAATGGTCCTATCCTGTCAAAACTACTAACATCTCACCTTGAACAGCTGTAGATTTGGAAGGGGAAGAGGGATAAAGTCTTGGAAGATAAACCAGAGCAGATCTGGACTAATTTAAGCAATCTTTAATCCCTTGGACTTAAGACTCTCCTATGAGCCTTTGCGCATCCTTTTTGCAGGAGGATGGCACAGCTCTTTTTGTCTTTCATGTCAGTGGTATGTTTTTTGGGGTGTCCTCCACAATGAGACAACCCACCTTGTGGATGACTATGGCCAAATCTACTCTAGTGTGTGTCTGAATTTCAGTATTTGAGCCAAATGGGGCCACTGACTATTCTAATTGTGACAAAGGCTGCACACTAATTAGAGAGGCAGCTACCCCCGCCCCCCAGAAAAATACACTCCCTAGTGTTTCCCTCATCATTGCTGACTCTGATGCATTCATTAAGTGTAGCAAGCTTGAGTACAATTAGCACTCCCCCAATGCAAAATCACAGGGAAGACTTTGTTCAGGGAGAGCCATCCAACAAACATAGAAACTGGAAGGAAGTGGTTTTTTTTTAAAGTTGGAGAAAGGGCCATTTTCTTGCAGCATCCAATCAGAACAGCTTGGGGCAGGGTTAGCATATACCATAGTGAGGCACATTGGCCAATTAAAACTGCTGTCAGGCTGGCTGAGAGCAGGGAGTATGCCTGAAGAGGGTGTGGAAGGAGGCAACAAAAGAGAGACGAACAGGAGGGCTTGAGAGTCACCATTTGCCCAGTGGGTCTGCTGGGACCACCAGACCACATGAAGAGCATTCTGTGGTGGTATTTCCTGGCCCGCCGCGCCCACTTATAACTGTACCCATTCTGACCTAATGCTGCCTGCAGGACCATGGAGCATGTCTGTCTGCTCAAGGGGTCAAATGCACAAACTTCACTAAGTTCACTAGTCCAAACAAAACTAATTGTGGCAACCTTGGCATATGAGAAGCACTGAAAGAAGTTGCCTGGTGGAGATGCCATCTCCAGGAGAGCTTGAACACCTTGGCAGTCTTGCTCAACCATCTTTTTACAAGTACTCCATCACTTTTGTTCTGTTATCAAATCCCATCAGCATCCCACATATGCAACTTTTATACTTCTGCACATTTCTGGGAGTCAAAACTCTTGCCATCTCTTAAATCTATTTTTAAAAAAACTTTCAACTGTTTAATTTTTAAGTTAGTGGCCTTAGTACACAGGAGCAACTGTAGGATGTGTTGTATCTCATGAGCCTTCAAGCCCTTGCCAATTTTTAATATACATAGATACATTTCCCTCTTTTCTCCCTCTATGTTATCCCTCAGTCTTCTATCTACCGTGCTCTTGTTGCTGATCAGAGAAAGCTGGAGTTCAAGGAGCGCTGTGTTGTTATATGGCTCAGACTCCTAAGCATCTGCCTCACACTCAAGATCAGAAACTGAATATGCATGCCTCAATTTGGCTTTCCTGAATATAGATAGCTTTTGAATCATACAAATGTGAACTGGAAGGACTGTTCTTATGTTTAATGGGAATCAGCCTCAGGCTCTCCTTGTGGAAGAGAGCCTGGGACTGCTTCCCTTGCCCAAACAGGTTTCTGCTTGAGCTTGAAAAAGGAAGTGCATCCTTAGAGGTGTCGACCAAAAGTGAGAGAGATTTGCATGGTCGACCAAAAGTGAGAGAGAGCCTTCGAGGGGGCGGGGAGGGCGGGTTTGCAGCTGAGGTCCCAATTAGAGATCCTCAATCCATGGGAAGAATGGATAAGGCTATACCTGCATAGATCTTTTTGAGAGCAATACTGGATCTTTCCCCTTCTTGGGAATAAGGGTACCTGACAGGCTATCTACTAGGCAAATAGTTCATATAATTATGGGCTCTGCCTGGGGATGAAGTTGGAAGTCAAATTGAATTGAGTAATAATCAGAATTAAGAGAGAAACTAATTTAGACTTTTTAGAGTTAACGAAGAAAGAACTCCAAGAGTGGTAATTGTCTTGTGCAAAAGCAGGGAGGGAAACTAGAGACTGAAATTGAGAACCTAGATTTCCTTGAAAGATCATGCAATCCATGCCATCCCAGGCACTGAGAGGAGATAACCCAACACTTGGCTGCCTCATTACAACTAAGACAGCATACGTAAGTTTTAGCAAGCTGTAAGCCTTTTCAGCTAAAAATCAGAGTATAAATAAACAAAGCATCAGTAAAATGAACAAACATAAAAGGGGGATGAAGACCTACCTCTGTTCTAGGCTGGTGCAAGCAGTCTGTGGAGTGATAGCATTTTCTTCTCCAGCTTCTGTGTTTTCCTCCACCACGTATTTACAAGAAGCATCTTGCGAGGTAGACAATTTTCCTTCCTCACTAATGAAGAAAGGCTACAGTTTTATTTGTGTTTTAACCATCTGTTTAATCATGCATTTATGGAAGGCCTGGGGAGATGGGGTCCAGAGGTCACATGCAAATAGATTTTAGAAATATGATTGAAACATGGATAAGAAACACAAGGTTGTGGATTCTGTTCACATTCATCATTGGCATCAGTATATATGTTCACTTAAAAGGAAGTGGACTGGAAAAAATGCAGGATGTAAGATTACAGAGTAGTAAAAATGGAAATAAAGAATGTACATGGTATCTGAAGTGAAAATATTATCCTTTACTGTACATACCGATAGGATTTCAACACTCTGAAGCCAAAAGTGAGAGGGGGGAAAAACAGAGAAGGAATATAAAAAGAACATCAAGATTTTCCTAGAAAAAACAGCCTTTGGCCAAGCCTATTTATGTAGCAACCAATGCAATATTCCTTTATTACAATTATTCAACCAGCCCCTCTCTTTAGAAAGTCTCAGGTATCACATACAACGGATGAAGCAGTAAGCCTACACATAACCTAGCCTGTTGCTCTGCCCTAATTTTGCATGAGGAAAGGTGTGTGTGGGGGGGGGGAGGCACACTTAATCATGTGAATCCAACCTAGAATCTGAAAAGGTAGGTTTCATGCCCTGTCATTTGTGAAAACTAGACTTTGTTTTAGGTGACAGAATGCTTCTTGTGTAAATTGCTCTAAGTTTCTCAAAGGAAAGAATAGGATATAATTTTGAGCAAGTTATCACGTAAGGAGGTGTCTGATCCTTTCCTAGTAATCACTTGCGTGTATCTAAAAACAGTGCAATTCACACACATGCACACCCCTTAGAGCTGATGTAGACATGAATCTGTGTTCACTTTAGCACTAGACACTTTTGAAAAGTGCCCATTAGATAAAGGAACCCAGGAAGAACACGGTGCAGCAGTAAGATTAGTCTGCTAAAAGAATATACACTAATAGTTTAGTTAAGCAATCATTCATATTCAGAAAACATAATCAATGGACTCAGGTGAATGTATGGCAAAGCCAAAGGACAACCAGGATTAATAGAAGCCATAAGCTGACAACTTGAGACTATCTATGTTTCTTATTACAGATGGATGAAGGGCATCCCGAGTGGAATTATCTCCTCCCTCTTGCTCAGGGTTTATACACTTTAAATAAGCTTTGTCCCTGTCATACAAAGAAAGACATTCCCAGTTCTAGGACACAAGGAAGCTGAGGTAGCTAAATATTTGTATCAAAAATCCAATAGAAATACTATCAAAGAAAAACATAGGAAACTGCCGTAGCATCTCCTATGAACTAGAGACCTTTCCCAGAAAGAGAGAGGTGACAGACTGGAATCTCCAGGATTGGAATCATTCCTGCATGTGACCTTAGAATCCAAGATTGGCTGCTCCTTTGCTACCAGTGAGGCAATTCAAGGAACAAGGCCAAACAGAACTGCAGACACTTTCCATACATCAATAAAAAGAGACAGTTTGGTGATTCCAACATTCCTATACTGGCAAAGGTCAATATCCAGAGCAGGATGTGAGAGCAGTTCTAACATCTTAGGTGGGCTCTCTCACTGCTCCAACTAAGGGTTGAAAGGTGAAGAGAACAGGATTTCCTGAAATACCATCATCCAAATGCTGCTGCAATGGAAGTAAAAGCACTCAAACTTAGTAAACATGAGGACTGTAGACGGCAAGAAATCACTCTGTTACTACATTGTTACTGTTGTTGCTAGTCGCGAAGTTGCGTCTGACCCATCACGACTCCATGGACAACATTCCTCCAGGCCTTCCTGTCCTCCATCATTCCCCAGAATTCACTTAAGCTCACAGTGACTCCATCTAGTCACCTCATTCTCTGCTGTCCCCTTCTTCTTTTGCCATCAATTGTTCCCAGCATTAGGGTCTTCTCCAGTGAGACATTGTTATTATTATACTGCATTTATACCCTACCTTCTCTCCTCCTGCAAGCAGCCCAAGGCAGCTTACACAATCATTCTCCGTGTTATCCTCGGTGCTCCCTGCTGATAGCAGGGAAGGCTCATGGGGCCTGAACATTATCAGGTGCTTGCAAAAAGACCATGAGGTACTGAATCTAGGTGGTTAATGCTACAAAGACCTATTTTTTCCAGTTGGCGGTGTGAGAACGTTGGCATGAAGCTGTCCAGAACTTAAAGAATATCTAGGGCTGGACAGAGGAGTGGCACAAACTACACTTGCCTGGGCCACCAAGCAACAATCAGGATGTGAAGAGTCCTTTCACTGCATATTTTGCTCACAACCCTCATGATGGGAGGAAAGAGTGCTAAGGTGGTGTGCCTCCACAGTGGAGGAGAAAGGCATCTCCCAGGGATTCAGGGCCATGTCCTGCTTTGCTGCAGAAGAAGTAACATTCTGTGACTAATACCATGGTGAACAATTCGAACTCAGGGAGAGCCCACTTGTTAAAGAGCTCTTGACAGCACTTCTTGGAACAAGCTCCCTCTTTGGAAGGAAGATTTGTGACCTGTGAGGAAACTGGTGAGGCATTCTTGCCAGATGTGTGGAGTAACTGGCAATGAATGTACCAATTCTAGAGGAGGAGCAGAAGGTTTAGGAGGGAAAGGGATTTTGTCCCACCCTATTTATGTATAAGACTATGGTAGCGTTATTCAATACAATTTAAACATGTCCTGTGACAGTAGGTTTGAATGCCACAGGGCCTGGGTGATTGTTAATAAGTTTTGAGTTGGCTGACATGCAGTGCCTTCCTGATGTGAGCAGAGTTATTTAATCATAAGGGAGTGGCAATTGGTCCAAAACGGTGGAGATACATGCCTGAAGCAACTATTACTGCTGGGTGGGAAGTGCAGAATCAAATCTTCAAAGATGATGAGTCCATACACTCTACTAGGGCAGAAAATGCCTGGCCAACTCAAACACAAAGAGGCACTAAGTTTTGGTGTCCCTCTCTGAGTTGAAGGTTCACATGAAACATGATTCAAGTGGCTTCAAGCAAAGGCAGGTTAGTGAAACAACTGATAAAGGTGAGGCTCAGCAGTTAACATGAGCTGGCAACCTGGGTAACTCAGGGCCAATCATTCCAAAAAAAATCTACTCCTTGTGCTCTTTGTTTTCTAGGGTATTCTGATTATCTTTACACAAACTATGGCTCTGCAGTTCATTGCAGGCTAGGAGCTTGGTTTCTTCACCAGTGGAGGTATAATAAAGGATGAAAAAGAAGCAGCAGAAGAAATAAAATATGCTTTTAAAAAGAGAAGCAGCAGCTATTAAAATCTGAAAGTTACAAATAAGAAAACTGATTTTTTTAAAATATAAGGCTTTTATAGACCATCCATCTACTGGTATTTTGGGACAGTTTAGCCAGAATGAAGACAAAAATAGCTTTTTAAAGGAGAGATTAAAAATAGCTCTTTTCCTGGGAAAGGAGGGATGAACTGGCAAATAAATGTCAAACTATACTTGATCTGTAACATTTCCCTAGACAATATGGGGAGTTCATTCATTGTGGGATCCCTTCCTCACATCAACCTGGAGAAGATGCCTTGTTTTTGTCCAGGTGGTACATTTATTAATGTTTCTAAAATAAAGGGCAGAATTCTAGACCCACCCTTTAAAGATGTAATTAAGGGCTATTTTTAGTGTGAATCAGGGCAGAGTTTGTTCTCTCACCTTTTGAAGACAGCTGTTTCAGTTTTAGCATCTACAGTAAGGCTGAGGGTCTCCTTCATGCTGCCATTCATTACTGTCTCAGTCACCTTGTCTGCATTTTCCACATCATCTTCTCCATCAGAACCAGCTTCCATTGCAACACTTCCTGCAGCTAGAAAAAGAATTTGCATAAGGTGGTTAATCACTAAGGTGTTTGCTGGCTTCCTGAACAGCATGCTGAAGATTAGGAAAAGCAATAACCCGAGAACTTTGTGAGCAAGGACTCTGCCTGCTCAAGCACAGAAGTTAGGCAGGTTGTTTACCTTTAACTGTTATTCTTTGAGTGGTTATCTGTGCATTCACACAAGTGGGCTTTGCTGCATAACACAACACCTAGACTGGAAAGTGCGGATGGGAGCTCCCCGCCCGCCACTTTCTGGGTCCAAGGGAAGAAGTGTGGGGCTCCTGCCCAGTCCCTCAGTTGCCTTGGAGACAGCATCATTTCCAGGCAGCTGAAGATTTGCATTCAGATGAGATGGCGATCCCAATTCTGCCCTCGCTTGGCACTCCATGTCACAGATGGAGGGCATGGTAGGCTGACAACAGTTAGTGGGGTGGAGAGCAGGTTGTGTGAATGCAGAGATGACCACTCAAAGAACAACAGTTACAGGAAAGCAACCTGCCTTTCTTTGTTGTGGACTCTGTGCATCACACATGTGGGTCATTACCAGAGGATTGCTGAGAGGACTGCCCTGCCAAAAGTGCGGTCCTGTCTTGTGGAGATGTGGAGCTGGTAGTGCCAGGTGAAGGTCGACAGTGTGGACCACATGATGACTCAGCAGGTGGCATGCAGTAGGATTCCAGCTAACAGGGCAGTAGATGCAGCCTGTGCACGTGTGGAGGTCAAGTCCGGCCATCTCGTATGCTAGACAGATGGGGTTGGTCACCCACCTAGAGAGTCTCTGGGACCAGATGGGTTCCCCCTTACTCAGGTCCTCATAGTGGATACAGGCGGTTTGGGTATCAGAGTTGCTCTGTATGTGCCTTGTAGAAGGGAGGTTTGAGTCCTGCCAACCTGGTGAAGAGCATGAAAGCCTTCCATATGGCCAGATAGGACTTATGGATGGAGGGTCTGAGGGCAGCCTGGAGGGTGGAAGCAACTTCAGGAGGGACAAGTAGGGGTCTGTCACCTGCTGATCAGGTTCAGCTTCCTGATGTCAGGGGAAAGGTCTCAGTCCCCATCTTTTGAAAGCAGGTTGCTGTGCAGCAGTAGGCAGAGGAACATCCTGTTGGAGAGGTGGAGAAGGAGCCACAGCTGTCTTGGCCACCAGGGAGTAATAAAGATGCAGTTCATCTTGTTCCTCTGGATTTTAGAGACTACCTTGGTGATCAGTTGGAAGGGGGCAGGGAGGCATAGAAAAGGGCCCTTTCCCACCTCAGAAGGAATGTGTCTCCGAGGGAGGTGATCCCCTGTCCCACTCTGGAGCAGAGCAGGCAGCATTTGGACTTCTGGGGAGTGCTGAAGAGGTCCACCTCGGGAGTGGCCCATCTGTTGCAGAGGTTGTGAGGGCTGCGCTGTCAAGCTCCCATTCGTGGGGTGTCGCGGTGGAGAAGCTCAAGGTGTCTGCCAGGGTGTTGAGGTGGCCCACCTCTGCTTACCAAGGCAGAGGAGGCACTGGGAGTGGCCATCTGCAGTGGGCAGGCATGTAATGCATGAAGCACAGCTCTGACGGTGTATCAGAAGCCACGGTAGGAAAAGGAAAGGAAAAAAGGTGGATGGAGAGGTTCTCCATGACGCTGAGTTACGGAAATTCTTTTTGATCTAGACCTTGCACTGCCCACATGTGTTGCAAAGACCACGACAAAGAAGAAACAGATCCTGTTGATAGACTTTTGTACATTTCTGAACTATGTATTCTTTGCCACTTTTACTAATTTTCATAGTCACAAAATATTACTATGCAACTGTTTATACAAACTATTTTAATTAAACACACTCAATTACCACCCCTTGCCCATTTTCAGCCTATTTTGCAACCTGGATCAGTTAAAGTAGCTGGCTAGTCACATCACATGCTTTTATTACCTATTATATGCCCATATTAGGCAAAGAATTTGGAAAAAAAATCCAATATGACAAACCTCAAATTACATAATTGTAAGTAGCAAACTAAGGATTCCCTATGTAAACATCATGATTGTTTCAGTGTTCTCTCACCTTCTGGTTGAGTTGCAAGTGCAGCTGCATTTGCACTCAAAGGATCCATTGGCTCAGTGCTGGTTTCCATTTCCACAGGTGAGTTACTTCTTAGGGTATCTTTCGAACTTTAAAAGTAAAATGGAAGCTTTGATGAGTGCTACTTTTAATCTTTTTTGACAAGATGAAGCATGCTGGCAATATATTTTTGATAGGTGAGGTAAAGATTGTCAGTTTTGAACCAAAGCAGTGGATGCCTCAACATTTGCTGATAGTTTAAAAATGTTGTTCTAAGCTATACTTGAGTGATTCCAAAACATGTAAAAGGAAACAAAATAAAGATAAATATGTAAGACTCCTCCAGAATTTACATGCTTTGAAAAGCGAAATACTGTTTGTTTCAACTCTTCCCTTCAGAAATAAGACAGGAAGTTAGGATACAAGAATGCTATGTGGGCAAGCCATTCCGACACAGAAGATAATCTGAGAATTTTTAATATTGCACTCAAACAACACTAGACTGGGTCTGAAAAAATGTCATGCAACTGAAAAGTATGGTGGAGGTGTTGAACCTATAAACAATTTAAGAATTTGGCTTTGAGGAGCCCTCCCCCTCCCCCCTTCCCAAGCAAACCTCTGACTAACAAGTTTCTGACAGTCTTCCCTAAGCAGCAGATGACTTTCAGTTCAGGAAAACAGATGTTTGTATGCTATTCTAAGTGGCACCCCAAGGAAAAATGGACAATTAGGAGGCAGTGGGGAAATGAGAGAGAAAGAAATATTGAGACACAGGGGAGGAAAGGGCAGCTCTGGTGGTGGTGATACTGGTTTTGCTCTGCCAACCAAAGGATACTATAGAGAACTGATACCAGTAGCCTCTCTTCAAGTAAATGAGGCAGGGGGGAAGGTTTTTTTGCCAGCTGCTCATCTGCAGGACCTTTTTTTTTTTTTTTACTTAAAGAGTCATACCAATACATGCAGTATCTTTTCAACTTAACTCAAAATTCTACTACAAATTCATTTTTAAAAGACATTAAGCAATGCCACAACTTAATGTTATCCTTCAGAAGAAAAATATATGAAAGCAAAACACAATAGTAACTTTGGTGATTCTTCAATCATTAAATCCATGTTTTTGGGAAAATCTATCACTTCCTACCTTAGCGATGTGAAGTCTGAAAATGAAGCCCAGCCAGTTTCTTTTGTTGGCATAGGTTCTTCTGTGCTCCATACATCAGATCCAACAGAATCCAGATTGCTACCATGAGTGGTTTCCATGGGAACATCAAAGTTAGCTGACCAGTTAGGTGCTAAAAAGATCGATATTAATACTGTTACAGTATCTAAAAGAAAAACTCACAAAAATACATCTCCAACAAGGTTTGCTGCTGTTGTTGGTAGTCGCAAAGTCGCATCCGGCCCATCGTGACCCCATGGACAACACTCTTCCAGGCCTTCCTGTCCTCCACAATCCCCGAATCCACTTAAGCTCACGCCAACTGTTTCAGTGACTCCCCTAGCCACCTCATCCTCTGTCATCACCTCCTTCTTTTGCCATCTATTGTTCCCAGCATTAGGCTCTTCTCCAGGGAGTCCTTCCTTCTCATTAGGTGGCCAAAGTATTTGAGTTTCATCATCAGGATCTGGCCTTCTAAAGAGCAGTCAGGGTTGATCTCCTCTAGGACTGACCGGTTTGATCACCTTGCAGTCCAAGGGACTCTCAGGAGTCTCCTCCAGCACCACAATTCAAAGGCCTCAATCCTTCGGCGCTCAGCCTTCCTTATGGTCCAGCTTTCACAGCCATACATTGCAACTAGGAAAACCATAGCCGTGACTATACACACTTTTGTTGGCAGGATGATGTCTCTGCTTTTTAGTATGCTGTCCAGATTTGCCACAGCTTTCCTCCCAAGGAAGAAGTGTCTTTTAATTTCTTGGCTGCAGTCACCGTCTGCGGTGATACAGATTTTTATAATAATACATTCTTTTAGGTTCCCTGATCATTTCAGTTAAAACTGTCAAAACACTTTGTCATACTTGCAAGCAGTTTTCTTTCCTCTCTCAATATCAGAGATTGAATGCTTCCACTCTGACTGATGGAAGAGTCCTGTGCCTTCTGAAACTTGCATACACATACACCATTCCTCAAGAAATATAGTGTAGACCATGTTGAGGAACATATAGACTGTACTTTCCTGTGTACAATATTGGAATGTGAACTGCCCCAAACCCTCACATTTTTCTCTCAAAGTCTTTTGCAGAAGTCTTATTTCAGGTCTCTGCAAGACTTCACTCCTCCAAAAGTTCTTCCTATTGCACACATTTGAATGTAACCTCCACTAAGTGCTGAATGATTTCTAGGCATTTTGAGCCAAAGGTAACCTTGTTTAAATTCCCAAACCTCAGTCACGCATCTCTGCTTATCACTGGGATTTGCCCGTTAACTGGAGATAATGGCCAGGCTACTGCTTACACTGCCAATTTATTCCAGAAAAGAGGCATATCCAAAGCAGCCTCTTACTTTTAAATAATGAATGTCAGATTCTCCACTGATCAGGTGAACAAGACAACCAACCTTCTTGATTCAATTTTTAAAAGGAGCATGCATTTGTGTGTTTTAAATTGAAAGCAGTAGAAAGTCTGAACAAGGTGAAGGGCTCCCACTCTCTCTTTTTTACAGTTATTATGCTAGTGAGAAGAGCTGAATTTCTGTATCCAGTTATCTTAACAAATGAGAGGCTGTGATATAAAAGCTGCCTACCTTCACTCAAATCTACTTCCATCTTGTCTTCTGTATTAGTGCTTGATTCGAACAAATCTTGCTTTGTTCCATCCTCTTCTTCGGAATCTGTACTCTCCTCACTGTCTGTACTGCCCGAGCTTTTTTTTTTAAATGAAAGAGATATGAATGAGATTATTTCTACCTCATGGGACTCTCTTTCCTTAATGCCCTGACACACCTTTTAAAAAAAGCAACGCAAAGCAAACATCCAAAGGAAGTACGGAGGTAGAAAGGATTTCTGACTAATATAGTCAAATTATAAGATGGCAAAAGAGGACCCCCCCCCCGCAAAAAAATAATTAAAAAAATATCCCACTGATATCAGTGACAGAACTCATGAAGTTTTAGAGGAGCTCAACTGTATACACAGTTTGGGAAATCTTTAAGGTTTTCAGAGTTCTTTTGAATTTAAAATTTAGGAATTACACACTAATGCCACTTCCATTTTAGTTGGAAGTACTGCAGAGGTCAGAATGTACATTTTAAATAAGGTAACTAAGCTACGAACTCCATGAAAGTGTCAGTGGCTAGTGATGCAGCTCAGCATTCCCCTGGCCCCTCCTGAATTCACCAGCATGCCAAGAATTCCAGGCTCTGGCAGTATCCAGGAATGGGCCAAAACCCTTTAATCATGTGTAGAAAAACCCTTACAATTGTAATGAATTTTATTAATGTATTGTGTTTGATGACTACTTGGAGGACTTTATCTAGGACAGAACTTAAACATCTGCCTTCCACTGATTGTGAATCTTTGCTTCCTCTCCTTTTTCCGCTGTAATTCAAGATCCAAACCTGGATCTTACACTACCCTAAAATGTATGAACCCAACATGCTGACAGACAAAGCCTTGGCAGAAAGGAAGGCAAACACTCAAGTGCCTATCATCATATGAATCGCATGTAGCTAGTTTGGTGTCTGCTAATAAATGGTTATATCTAAGGTGTTTCAGTTGTTCTGTGTGAACGTTTATAGGCAATATGATATAAGATTATTAATCTACTGTCACTAATCCAAAACTTTCAGGGAAGAAGCAGGATATAGAAACTTAAAAGTTTTCTCCTCTTGTGAGGAATAGTACAAAGTTAACTTCCTACAGTGATTATGCAGGGACAGACCTGACTACAGGAGCAGGAGACAGGGCAAATGCCAGGGCCACCAAATAACTAATAATCTCTACCACATGCAAGCTGTGACCATGTATCCTGCCTGGAATCCAGTTTAATAACTGATCCATTTCCTTAAAAGTAATATAGTGAAACAAAAGTAGAATAAAGACGGGTAGCATCAAAGGCATTGAGTTCAGAGAAGATCACAAAGTTCTAGAGCCAGCTTTGTACATAGAAATGCCTTGAAAATCCAGTTTAGTAGATTAGAAGAGAGAGAGAAAAAATCCAAAACTGTCTGAGACTAAAATGGGAAGAGAAGAGACAGATCTCAGTGACTGGTGTTTTGCATGCTCAGGACAACAGCAGCAGCACCACCCTGTTTGGTGCTGGTATGTATCATTGTAGCTCTGCATTACTTTAAAAAAACATTATGCATCAGTTTACCAATGGTGGGCCAGCTAGAAATCTAAACATGATTATATTTAATGAGAGCTAGAACTTATGATTTGGCAATTCAAATAAACACATACACATAGGCAGCTGTACTCTCTGCTGTCTTAAATTTACCTGGATCTTCTCTGAGATTCTGATGTAAAAGCGATATGTTTCTCTTCCCAGATATCCTCTTCATCAGAACCACCATCATCAAACTGCTGTATTCTCTCCTTGCAGCATGCCTCAAATAAAGCAATATTGCCCTAAACATTTTTAGAAACAAATATGCAAACAGGACTAAGAACACTATACTGAATCTCCCACTAATAGATAAATAGAAATACAGACATTTCAACATTAACTCTGTAAAGTGTAAGAGGTATATCTCTGGTAAAAGCTTCTCAACCATGTTTAACATACTAGAAGAAAAAGATTCTCTTTTCTGAGGAAATCCCAATCCCAGGATTTAAACAAAGTTCAAATGGAGCACTAAATATGACATTTCAAAATGTCTTATAATTCAGAAAACCCATCACCAGCATATATAAGGTGGCTGTGAAACCGCTACTTCCATCACCATTCACTGCTCTTCTCACCAGTACCATAGTTGGGAAAATTAATCCCACAGCTGACAACAATCTCCGGGTAAAAGCCAAGTAAAACCAGACAGTCACATTAGACAGTGGCCTCCCTTCCTAAAGAAAGAGACACCTGCTGGACAGAAAGCAGACACACCACTGACTCTCCCCGTGGCTGTGGCTACATCAGCACTAGTCTCAAGGATCAGTGCCAACTTAGTTGAAAACAATGTGAAAAAGTTCTACACTGCTTCCAATCTACAGTCTGGGAGTTCAAACTGCCAGGTCACCAAAGCTGCTCCCTGCCAGGGAGAAGCATCCGTACAGAAGCAGCATGTACTTCTTTCTCAATCCCACTACTCTTCACTGTGCTGCATTGGTAGCAACACACATGGTACTGCTTCTTAACACAGCAGTGTTCCTAATACTAAGTCACAAAATTAAAAGGGTCACAGTAAGTCATTCAAGTAAAACTTACCTGGATCCTTAGCAAAATCTCCATTTTTAGAGCATCCATAAAGCATCTATCCAGAGCTATCACTACCAAAAAAGGTGCTTCTATGTTCTCCTGCCCTACAAGCGATGCATTTTATTGCTTAACTACTGATATGCTCTAGATAGTGATTTCTCAATTTTTCTCTAAATCAGGGTCAGAAACCCAGTGTCCTCCAAATATTTTCTATCACAACTCCTACCAGCCCCAGCCAGCAAGGGTTAGTGCACTGTAGTAAAAAAGTAATACTTGGGTGATAGCAGATGCTTTAAGTTTGCCTTTGTGTTAAACTGCTTCTCCCAAGAACCACTGACTTCACACAACATGGCCTCCGCGTGCTCTCTGATTGCAAGCCTTTTTCTATTTGTCATAGTTCCTCCAACCCCGCGCTTTTTGGAGATTGCTCTTCCACATGACCACAGACAGCTCCTCCAAAGTATCCAAGTAGCACACTGTAGGGGCTGTCAGTTGTTCTCCATTTATTTATTTACTTATTTAACACAACTGAATATGCACAAGCATGTTTGTAGGGTCTTTTTCTTCCAAAATCACATAACTATGCAACTTCTGTATAGCTGAAATTAAGAGGAATTACTTGGGCAATGTTGTGTCAAGTGTCTGTTGTCATAATGCAGCAGGCACTGGCCATGTACAAAAGAGGCCACAAATGAGTAATTGTGTTACTTTTTGGTCACCTGACAAGTATCTAATGGAGAGCAGTCAAGGGAAATAAAGCTGTAAGGAACATTTGCTCACAAAAGGGTGTGGCAAACTTCCTCCAACATCCCAGTGATATTCTTACGGTTTCTAGAGTTCCCTCATTTTTCACCGCATAAATTCATGTAAAAATGTAGCAACTTGTCAGAGAATTTTAAAAACAAAAGCCTTTCTTTAGACAGCTGTCCAAAAAAATGTTTGTGAAAATGCAGTATGCTCATGATCTGGAGATTCAGGAATGTGAGGAAAAGGCAAGGTCACAAGGAACTAAAGGGGAACACTAAAACAGTGTATTTCTCTGTGGAGAGGGAAAAAAGTTGTTATCCCCTAGCACAGCAGGCTATTTTTCTCCCCACACACATTCACAAAGTATACAGAAGTAGGAATATACTTACGCTTTCATTTGTATTGAGGGTAAAATTGATGTCTGATACACGGTCAAAAGAAACACTGTGAACAAAGTACAAATTTATGCACTAAAACAGAAGAAAAATCACATTCTAGATGGCATTCTGAAATACTTCATATTACAGTACTTTATATCAAAAACAGTGATAAATATTCTAATATCTATTTGAAGAAGGCAAATGTGACTACCAATTCCCTTACAATGATTTGCCCTTAGCTTATGCTGTTGACTTAATGTCTCAATCAAGAAGATTGTGTCAGTGTGATTTCACATGTAGCAAAAACAGAAAGTGAACATCCACTTACTTTATACCTCTGCAGTGCAGTATGCAAAAGCACACTTTTAAAATCATTTGAACTCACTGCAGGGAGCAACAATATGCTCCAAGTAACTGCAGCATGTGCTAAATGCAACTACATGTGAATAAGTCTGCCAATAAAATCTTCACGCATAAATAAGTTATTTGACTAGAAATAGCTAAAAGCTATTTTAAATAGACTCAAGTGGAAATCCACCTGTCTAAGTGATGGGCATCTATCATGAAAAATGTATTCACTTCAAAAATCAGACAATACAGACACTACTGGATAGGGGGAAAACCCCACTGTCTTATGTTTCAATTTTAAGAAGAAAAACTATGACCCATGTTGCTACTGATCAAATTTCTATCTCCATCTGGGGGTGCTGCTTTCTGATACAGAACAGTAAATTTAGGTTAATATGTGAGACACACTTCAGTTGTTTTCAAAGGAACAAATTAAAAGCATAGTGTTTTATTCAGCCCAAGGCGTTATATTCCAAATGCACATGTATCCAGTGATTAAAGCTGTATATTTCCTCATTGGGTACAGCTGTGGATGTGCTAAACTAGTGTCAGGCTGTCACAATGGACTGGATGAAGGCTAACAAACTGAAGCTCAATCCAGGGAAGACTGACATGCTGTTAGCAGCTGGTGGCTCTGACTGGAAGGAAGATGCTGAGCCTATTTTGGACAGTGTTGCACTGCCCTATCTTAGGGGTCTTTTCGGATCCATCTTTGTCACTTGAGGCTCAGGTTGTCTCCACAGCACGCTATAGATAACTGGACAGGGTTTCCCTGGTTTCCATAGTTTATACTCTGGTAATCTCTAAAATAGATTACTACAATGCATTCTATATCGGGCCACCCTTGAAAACTGTTCAAAAGCTACATCATGTGCAAATTAAGTCAGTAAGTTATTAAAACAATACTAATTGTTCTGTGTCTGAATCTTATTGCACATATAGTGGGCACTTTGGTGCATTTTAATTATCACTTAATAATTAATTATGCATCATAGGATTCCTGTGTTTTGAATGAATTTAAACATTTCTGTTGCTGCTAAATTAAGGCCAGTTGATCATTCTAATTATCAGTATGTAAAAAGACAGTCCACCACTTTTTTGAGGTCAGTGCAAGTTAGACAATTAATGTTTGCTTTCACAGAAAATAGAAATCAAAATTAGAGTAATATGTCTAACATGGATTAGAAAAATCATAGCATATAAAATCATAACATATAAAACAAGCTATACAGATCAGAAAAGAACACAAGCCAGTGTTACAGTATGTTTGCTTTCATTGGTTAGCTCCTAATATTTAACAAAGCTAATGATTTTCATTTACAGATAATGTATGTAATGTTTCAAATAATGTTTTCCCTGCTTGCATAAGAATAGAAAACACTGAACAACCACTCACAAGGAAGAGGTCCAATCAGAATACATAAGTCAATGTGATTTCAAATACCTTAACTGGATACATTACGTATCCTTTAAATTCTTTTCAGTCCCAAACCTTTGAGGGCACACATTTAATATTATAAGTTGACTGGATTAATGAAAAGTGTTATATTTCGGGATACAAGGGATACTGTGAACCAGCTTTCTTCCACCTAGTGTCTCCAAAACAACAGTTCTCATCATCCCTGACCACTGGCCATACTTGCTGGGAGCTGTAGTCCGAAATAGCTGGAAACTGCTTTGTTGTGGAAAGCGCCACTACATGGATCATAGCTATATTGATAACTTTCACTTATCCCAAACCTGTCAGAACTGAACTGGTTCCAAGCACAGAAGGACAGATTTAAATCCTTTCTTTACAGCACTGTACAAAAGTTCTGACTGCTATCTTTTCCATGAAAAGAGTCACAAAACAACTTGTTTCATAACTAATAGGGATGGGAGGTGTTAGACACACCTTACAAGAAAATATGTCCTCTTCTTGAGTGTGCCCAATGCATAAGGCTGATTTATACAGCTTCATCACTGAAGAAACAAGCACTAACCACTGTGGCATGAACAAATGGAAAACAAAGATGGATATTAAAGAAAATAATACTCACTTGCCAATATCATCCTGATCGGCAAACTTCTCATCGTTGAAGCCAAACTGGTCAATAAAATTGGACGTCATTTGTTGCATCTGATAATCAGAAAAGGCCTGGCAACCCCAGGACCAACGACAGTGATATAATGATTCTAATAATAGTCTAAATACTACTTGCCCATTTTACTGCAGAAATATTCTTTACTAAATTACACATACATATGCATGAAAAAGCTATTTCATCATTAAAGACAGCAAATCAGATAACTGAAATTTAGAGGGTTTAAGGGCAAATGTTTGGTAAATATTTCAATAAGGATTAACTTTGGTCCAAAGCTAAGCCTCTAAGCAGGTAATGCAATTTTAGATGGATACTGACTGCAGCAGTGAGGAGAACAAGAAGCCAGGTTCCTTCACCACTCAACAGAATACATACAGTCTGACATGTAACAAAACATACAATAACAGGAAAACTTAATTTTGAGGCAATTTCTTCAAAGAAAATATTTTAAGAGACTGCAACAATTACAGTACTTCTGATAAAAAAGAATGGTTTCAAAATTTCAATGTTTGTGACTGCCAATCCAAGCCATCAAAAGTCATTAAGCTAACAACTTTCAATAATTCTTTGAAAGCCCACAGAAAAGAGTAAGAATCTCTGCTTCATTCTGCAAGACCCATGTAAAAACTCTCATAGCTCCTTAAGTAAGAATTATGTAGCATAGTTTTCCAGCTGTGGTCAGAAAAGCCCTAGAATAAGAGCTAGATTTAGATTTGGAAAATTACTAATGTAGGTCCGAAGACAGATTTGATGGTCATGAGTGAAGAGAAACTCAGGCATAGTAACTCAGGTGAGGAAGAAAAGTCTTATTCTAGAACTGCAGTCAAACTAGAGCTGCATTCTCTCCAATAGTTTCAAAGGATTTTTAACATGCTGGAAACAGTTGAAGCGTTTAATAGGGTGATTCAAATGCAATTATTCCACAGGGGATGGACCACCTCTGCTACAATAAGTGGCCCCTAAAGAACTACTCATATATGCCCATATGATATGAGCACCTGAGCATGTTCTGCCTCATGGATCAGATGGCCCGTAAACTCCTTTTAATTCCATTGTAAAATGAGCAGTCACCCATGAAAGCAAGTGGGGAGAGGTAGCACAGCTTTCACCCAGACTGGAAGAAATATCCCCCAAACATTTCCAGCATGAGGGTACTACACATTTGTGAAAGCAAGGAATTATTTTGGTTTGTTTCCCCTATAGTAGCCAACTGGAACAGAGCACAGAAAAAACATGTCTATTTTCAAATCTCTGTTCCTCAGAAAGTGGAATGGATAGGTGTCAATACGGAACTGAAAATTCTGGTTTACAGCAGGACACACATAACTGTGGGGGACTGGTTCTGAGCCATGGATCCCTCAAACTGTGGACAGTAGCAAATACTACATTCATGGGGGTCAGGGTGCAGGACCCCCAGAAGTGGAAAAAACCACAAATATCTCTAGAGTCTGCACCCACTGAGACCCAAAATGTGTGAGGCTGGCTAGTGCTGAGACAAAGAGCATGGGCTCCCAAAACAGAGTGTGTAGTTCTCTGGAAACGTTTGTGGTTTTTTTTTCCCCACTTTTATGGGGGTCCTGTGCTCCTAACCCCACAAATGGCGGGGGGAGGGGAGCACACGCAACAGTCAACAATGGTTAAATGAAACTGCAGTAACTGAGACAGAGAATATGGGAGAACCTGCTGTATTTTGATTATTTATAATCAAGTCATTGACCAAAATTATTTACATCTGGAAAGTTGTGATCTTATACCCTCTAAACACATAGCATGGCTCTCAGGATGTGTCTTCCAAATGATTTTTCTTAAACATCCTAACCTTGAAAAGTTGCAAACTCTGAAAGCTAATCACACAAGGAGTTCTTTTCAGTAAAGGTATCAATGCATATAATTGCAAACAGCCCAGTCTTAAACTCACTTGTTGCAAGGAAGAATCCTGTGAGAAACCAGTTTCTTTAAAATCGATTTCATCATCACTGGATGAATGAATATGACAGGTAGTAACCTAGAGATAGGAAAGTTAATAAATCAGTGCATTAAAAATAAGTTCCATAAAAGTCTAGAAATTTTTAACTCCTTATAGGAAAGCATTTTTGCTATAAAACAGGATCTGCAGATGTTTAAGGTAAAATCAGTAAAAGGAAAGCAATGCATTATTTATTATTGTGTTATCACTATTATTGTTTGCATTTCCTTTTTTCTTTGCAACTGAGAGTTTCTCCATTAAAAACAGTAATTTCTCAAACTTCATCTTATGAAACCTACTAGATCCACTGTGTTTCTTTTGTTGGTTTCGCCTAAGGAACTTGTGCAGAAAGTCTCCCATCGCTCCCTGACTTCATCTGGAAGCTCTAGAAAGTCAAACAGATAGTGATTTAATACTAAAAAATTTTAAAGTTGTCACTTAAGGCACCAAATTTTGTACTCTGGGCATTTTAAGCCACAAATATTATTACCAAATATATACACTCATTCCTCAATGTACATTAAATGGAACCTTCACAATTCATAGATACTATTTTGCTCCTCTCACTTTACAGAAGGGATATATGAGGTTTTAAAAAGACAGACTAACTTCAGCAGGGAATCTTAGCTGGGGTTCCATCCTGCAGCTAAGTTCAGGTTTCCACTAACTCCTCCCAAGAGGTCCACAGGGCCTAGAATGCAGATAGCGGACCTTTTCTTCAACAACTGATCGATTCATCTGTTCAGACAGAACAATTTCACTCAGAAGTAACAAGCTCAGGCTTGCATGGCAGTCAAAGTCTTTTAAATTTTTTGCTACATTAACATGCCATATGTTTGAAAGAGCAGGGGTGAAGGCAGCCTGTCTCCTAGCCAAGCAACAGTCAGGGAAAAATCCAGCAGAATAGCAAGCTCCTGCCACAATCTGTCTGCTATAACTCCAGAACAGGAACACAAGCAGCCACAAATGGCAGAAGCCACTGCCTACTGGACAAAACCATCAGACTAGGACAAGGGAGATCTACATTCAGATTTTAACTTAAGCAGGAAACTGTTCAGGTGACACAGGGCTGGTCGCAATCTCTGAGCTTAACTTGACAGGTTTGCTGTGAGAATAAAACAGGCATGGGGCATGGACTACTATGTATACTGCCATAAGCAACTTGAAAGAAGGTGGAACAAACATGTGACATAATACTGCACATTACAGTTTGTTTTAATTTATGCTCTTGCTCTCTCTTTTGTAATCAGCATAAGCATCAAACCTGTTGACAGATATCTTCAGTGTTGTTCTAATAAGGTTAACAAGTCAAATGCCCAGTCCTACAACAACCCAAGGCTTATTTTTCTTACTACCAGCTCCTGCTTATGGACTCCCTCACCTCAAAACCTGATAGGAGATAAGAACTGCTTCTGTTCCTGATTTTCAGCAAGCCTAGTTTGCCTTCAGAATCTCAAATGAAGGGTTTATCCTCATTTGTTACAAACTAGGAAAAAGAGGATGTGCACGAGACCAAAAATTGTTCAAGTTTGTAATGGCAAACAATAGTTTGTCATTATGATTGAATTTAGTTATGGAATGGCATCCATTCCTTGTAGGTTTTTATAACTAGATGAAGTAACAATTGATTTTCTGATGACCTTCTCAATCCTGTTGTGGCAGCATATTCTTGATTATTTTGTAAATACTGTTTGCTATACACTCACTAATCCTCTTGTCTGACATCATTTCACAACAAGGACCTCAATTCTAAAAGTATCCAAAGTTTATGCATGTATATAGAGTATAGGAAGCAGCCTTATACCATGTCAGACTATTAGTCCATCTACCTCAATCCTGGCAACATTAACTGGCAGTGGCTCTCCAGGAGTTTAAATTCTGACTGCAGACTAATAATGTGACTGTTAAAACAATCATGTAGTAGGCATGCTTATTCAAAATTATACCTATTTTAAAGTGGGAAATGTAAAGTCTTTGTTCTTGGCAATTTGGGTCACATTTAAAGTTGCTTGACATAAATCAATCTTCCCAAACACCAGCAATTTTTTCAAAACACACATAGCCATTCTTTAACAGAAGTTGCATATAAAATGACATTTTAAGAAAAAACTCCAGGAGGAATACAGTGCAAAAATAACTCATCTGCACAGTTAATCCAATACTAATTGTATCAAAGCAGAACATCAAAGGGAAAAATCTGACTTCTGTTTATATATTGTATCCTGAACTTTAATGCCACAACTAGTAACTTTTCTGAAGTTCTAAGCAAGATGGGAACAGGCTTTCAGAGCAAGGCTTGAATGAATGGGCTGGCAGATAGTTTGGATAAAACTTGGAGGTAAAAGAGCGGGGGTTTTTCTGTCCTCATTCTTCATACATGAGAATCTGTAGGCAGATCAAATAAAGGCATAGCCCTCTTTTAAATGGTTACCTTTAATAAGCTGCTGTACTAGAGTACAGTTTGGCCCTTTGTCAGTACTATGCACAATACAGTTAGCTATTCTTGTTAAGTGACCCATATAGCCGTATCGTCTTCCTCCTTCACCCCTGCAAAAGTTGAACACATTCATTTCTTAAACAATTGATAGCATTAAAAAAAAACCCTATGTTACTTTTTTAAACTTGCAGGGCATCAAATTTGAACACATACTCATTCAGACAAGTGAAAGCAAAGTGGTGTTTGGTCAACTGGTCATCCATGACAAACTAATCCAATATTAGTTAAGTATTTCAAACTCTTTCTCCCATATGATTTTAAGGATAATCATGCATTTGCCTGTCCTACACACAGAGTGTTTTCCCTCAGACCAGCATGCCCACATCTTCTAGGTGCAGTCCAAGTGTTCTGGAAAACTCCTAATGCCTCCTGTCCATTGTCCATGCTAGCTGGGGATTATGAGAGTTGTCGTTCAAAGCATCTAGAGGTCATGAGGATGGGGATGCTGATACATAATGTTCCAAAATTAGCCCAAATATTTTTTTTGTTTTTTTTTGTATACATCTACGTATGTTAGATCAGTGGGAGCAAGTCACTCTATATTACTCGAGCAAAGCTACCCAGTCACAAAGAGCAGAAGTGAACAATATAATCGTAGAAATAAAAAGGACTTGTTTTCTTGTTTCCTATTCAAGAGTCCCATGATCTGCTCATGTCTACTCCCCACTAGCAAAAAGTGTGCTGAAGCTGGGTTTATGAAAATCTGTCAATCATCATTAGCTTTTTATTTTGATTTGTTCTATATTAAAACTAGTTGTATCTTACATTCCAAATATTATATATTATCTTAACTGCACACGAGAGGCAAAGATTTTGACTACTTACTGTTTCTTCTCATTCATCTCCCAAGCTTCAAGTATCCGTTCTATTAAATGGCACTTAAGGAAAAGCTATAAAAGAAAAGCTTCCTTGATTTTTGCAGAAGAATGCAACAAATTAAATGCCTTGTAACATGCAGCAATTCATTCAAGTTTCAAACAAACCATCAGTTCCAGTCCTGTCTTGCCACTCATCTACACAGTAGTTTCCTGTTGTGCCCCTCCAATTCTTTCTTAAGTATATCACGGCCTTGTCTGTTTCTCTTAGAAAACCCAGCATTACAGTTATGCACCTCTTGTGTTCTAACTACAGAAATTAATGTTACATATGCATGCCATATGACTTCCTTGCATAACACTACAAATACCGCCCCTCCACACACAGGAAATTCCATGATTACTGTACAGCCTATCACTCTTGAATTCTGCATCTGAAGCTGCTTCCAAATGCTCTGAAGAATCTGGCACCAAAAGCTGAAGATGCCTCAGGTTCATATGTTCAACCAGTTCCATGTCCATCACATATTCAAGATATGCAGAAGAAACACCTCCAGTATATTTTCAAGTGGAGCTGGGATCATCACCAGTTTATGCTCTTAGAGACTGAATTTAGTTTGCACAAAAATTGTTTCAAAAGCCACCTGTTTCACTGACCACAGAACATTTTATGGAAGGTGCAATCTTCTTAAGAACCACTTAGGATAAGGTGTTCAGCATCCCATATTATTTAAGATTACTCCAGTTATTTGTTCTGTACACTCATAATTGAATGTTTGAGGTATGTTCATATAGAAGTTTCCAATATTCTATTTCAGTTTTAATGCAAGAATATTTCAAAGTAGCAGCCTTCCAGGACCAGGAGAAAGCTCTAGCAATGTTTCTACCCTTAAGACAACCACAGGATTTGCACAAGCATTCTGCCGTACAAAGCTTGTAAAGTGAAGGTGCAGGCTAGGAACAGTCTCAGTATAAAAATAATAGAGGAATTGAAAACACATGCAACATCCAGAGTAGAATTCACATCACTATGCTATTAAACACATGAATTATTTGTGCGCTCCTTCCTCCCCAGAAGGCAGTCTAATCCCAAATCTAATACTATACATTTTCAAAAATAATGCGCTGATATTTTCTAGCCCTTACCATACTATCATTGGAAAAAGATAATTACACTAAATTTTTTATTTCATTGTTCTTCTTCAAAGTATAGATGTGTTTGCATGTTACAACACATCCTGCGAATAAGCCATGGTTGACCGGTTGTATACAAAACAGTGTACAAACAGTACACTGGTTGTATACAAACAGTGAATCCAACAGACACCAGGCTCACCGTGGGTTGTTGCCCCCTGTTCCTAGTCCTCTTGTGAGTACTCCATGGTGAGTACACCAGGAGAGGAATAAGTCATTCCCCTTTTCCCCAGTGCTGCTTAGTTCCCACCAGGATGTACATTTTATACCTTGTCCCAACATGTTTAGGAATGTGCACAAATCCCACTTTTCCTAGAGAACAAGGAGTTTTGACAGCTTTGAGAGCTAGCTGTCCAAACTCTGGGTCTCTTTAAAAACAGGGTTTTGAGAGCAAAATGGGTGATCTGAGACTGTTAGAATTCTTGTATTCCCTTGGAACAGTGGGCTGGGGTACACTTTTGCACTTTCTTGAGCACTTGGAGGCTCAGAACAAAGTATACTATGTGCACCAGAATGAAAACCAACTGTGGGAGTGTGACAGATGAAATCACTTGTGCCTTTGGTTACATCCTCCTCCCCCAAAGTCCACCAAACCCCATGCCCACCACACCAGTGACTCCATCCAGCCACCTCATCCTCTTCTCCTTTTGATTTCAATTGTCCCCAGCATTGGGAGCTTTTCCTTCTCATTAGATGGCCAAAGTATTTGAGCTTTAGCTTCAGTATCTGTCCTTCTAGAGAACAGTCAGGGTTGATTGACTGATTTCAGTATTAAATCAATTTCAGACTGATTTATTGATTAACAGTATTAGTTAGGACTTAAAATATATCAGCAAGTATAGTTACTTCACTGAAGTCAACCCTACTCTCTTCAAAAATAGGGCAAGTGTTTTTCCTGGAAGTATGTAGGTGTGGAAAGTAGGTTGTTAAGCATAAGGCTATCACCTTGGTAGTCTTCCCTTTAATTGCAGAAAGCTTAACACAGCTATAAGGTAAATACTTAAAGTTATAAAACTGAAACTAGTTGACAACTTACATGTTTCAGCAAAAGGTTGTCTCCAACAGAATCCTGTTCTGAGATTGTACCATTTTCTGTGCTTTCAAAAGGACTTGCAAGGATCAATGCAATACAAATTTCTACTTGAGTATGCAAAAAGTTATTCCATGTGTACTTAAAAAACATGTCCTGCAGAATGGAAAGAAATCAGATTCAGAAGTAGCCCTATTACCTGCTAAACCCTAGGACAGTATCTAATGGGACTGCACGAGTGGTTAGTCCTGCTTATTACATTGTACAAGAGGCCCAGCTTATAGGAAAACTCTTATTTCTAGAATGGGGAAGATCAGCAGAGCTAATGCAAGGGAGCGCCACCAAACTGCCTTGTAACAGGAGCAGGTGTGTCTACTCATTTCAGAGCTTAATACTAGAAGCACCAGATCTCAGTGGCATAAGTGGTGGATACCACTTGCACAAAAGAATCAGAGAGGCTGGCCACTCACTACTACAGGTCGCACTGGCTATCACCACAGTGAGTAGGGTTCTACTCACCTTATTTTCCTGATCTCTCCACCTCTCCACTGCTCTTTACACTTATGAAGAAAAGGGATATAGATAAAATGTCCCCCATCTATCCCCACACTGCTGTAGCCAAGCTTACAGACCCATAGCTTAACTTCAGTTTGTTTTCAAGCTGCAAGACCCAACTTTGGATGTCCCACAGAACATTGTTGGCTGCCTAATAAAGTTAAGGCAAAACAGAAATAACAACTCCATACCTAATGTTCCATTATATTACTCAAAGAAACAAGCTATCTTTCACCTATGTCATGACATAACTAGCAGGACTAGAAACAATTACCAGAATCAAAAAAGTTAAGAAAAATGCTATCTTATTACTCTATGAAAGACAGGAAAGTTAATCTTGCAAATATTTATGTCTTACCAGTATTACTCCTATGCTATTGAGCTCTATAAGTTCCAGGTTTACACTGTTTGTATTTGTCTGCAGAAGGCTGGATATTAACCTAATCACATTTAACCTGGTGTTTCCTACTGGTGGATCCAACACACCCCATGTTGTCTTCATGACGCTTTTCTAGACAAGAACAGCAGCATAAAATATTAAAACTAAACACCACAAAGCCTTATTTTATCCATGATGGAAGTTAGCATGGCAATCATCAGAGTCAATGCTGCAACATTTAGTATAGCACCCTTAAAAGCAGGCGAGAATTTTCTGGTGGTTATTGAGATCTCCCTTCTGTGAGAGGTAAGATTCACAATTGCACTTCATCAGCTTCTCTCCTATATGAGGAGGTAGGCTTGCTAATGGAAGCTCCCACACACAGAAGATTTATATGAATTTCCAGAGGGTAAATGTCAGGAAAAGTAAGGAGCCTTGTAGCATCTTTAAGACTAACATGTATATTCTGGCAAATGTTTCCTGGACTATATAGTTCACTTTATCAGAAATGTGGAGTGTTGTAGGTGTATAGACAGAACATATGGCAGCAAAACAGTGAAATCAGAAGGAAATAAAATGTATAAAGTACTGACAATCTCATTCTTAAAAGTGGCCATTCATAAAACAGTTGCTGCAGTTAACACACCATAGTCCAGCACCTGTGTTTGCATCTTTGTTGTGTAGACTGTTTGGAGGCTGTCTCTGAGCAAGTTTAGGCCTATCACCCAAGGCCTGTGAGAAAGAAGCATTATTGCCCAAGACAGGCTGCAGAAAATGATAAACCTGAGTGGCTTTAAGCTGAGAACTGTGGGATGACAGGCTCTTCTACTAGCATCTGTTCTGTAGTAGGTTGTTTCTTTGCACGTGTCCAGCTAACAAATCTGAATAATTAGCTCTGCCTTCCTGCAGAAGCCAGTTCTACAATCAGTACACTTATATTGTCTCTTTCCCTGTTGAAGTTTTCATGTACTAGTCAATCTCTCAACATAAATTTTTCTTTGTAGGTTTTCTCTCCTGTGTAGATTCTTCAGTGTTTAATGAGTTCTCATCTCTGAAAGAAGCAAGTCCTACAATGGAAATATTTTAATGGCTTGTCTCTCCTATGAAGTATTTCCAAGGGATTTTCCACCAGATTCATGTGTGGGGCAAAATTTCTCTCATATGTGAAGTACTGGTACAGTTTCTGACCTGTATGGCTTCTGTGGTGTTTCATGAAATCCAATAACAAATTTCTGCAATCTGAGCATTTAAAGAGCTTTTCTTCTGTGTTACATCAGTAACAAAAGGTTCTCTCACAAGTTGAACATCTGAATGGTTTCTCTGTGTGACTCACTTGGCATTTAAAGTAAGTACAAGCCACCAGAAGATATACCCACTGTGAAAGCTTTTCTGATGAGATACTTTTCATGAAATGTGTTTTTATTTTTTTTATTACAGCTTTCCTCACACAGAGCATTTATGTGATTTCTTGTGTAGATAATTTTGTGTTTAATGAGACAGAGAGTGCTGACAAAAGCTATTTCAGAACTCAGAGGAAACATACAAATTTTCCCTTATAAGAGATTTTTCATGGACCGTAAGTGCTGATTGCTAAATAAAGCTTTTCCTGCACATGGAACATTTATACAGTTTGTTCCCTCTATGTTTCATGAAATCCGGCTGCTCTCAGAAGCTATTTCTGCATTCAAAGCACTTACAAGGATTTGCACCTGCGTGGACTCTCACATGGCCAATGAGCTCTGACAGAAGCTTCTTTCAGAATAAAACCACTGATATGGCTTTTTTTGCTGTGCAAAATCTTTTATGGGCAACTAAATTTGATCTGTGACCGAAGCACTACTCAGATGTAGCACTGGTATAGTTGCTGACTGGTGCTCAGCAAGCTCTCAGGAGCAATGAAAACCACCTGCACCAACAGTACACTTATGCAGCTTCTCTCTGCTTTGTGAATAATTCTTGTGCCGTCTATTACTTCTGCTAATTATTTCCCACAATCAGTGCACAATACACAATAACTCAGAATTTCCTTGGTATTCCTGTGCAAAGTTTCACATAACCTAAGACTGTAAGTTTGACTAACATGTTCTGCCATCAACTGCTGAAGTCTTCAATCTTTCAAAAGAAAGCCTTACACAGAGTGGCTTGCAGTACTGAGATACAGCTAAAGCATGCATGACCAAATCAAGGTTGAGTTAGAGCAGGACACTTTATGTGATGCCATGCTCATCTCCTCCAGTAATAGATGAAACTGACACAGCAACCTAACTTGTAAAAAAAAAAACAAAAACAAAAACAAAACCCAAATCTGATTGCAAGCGTCATCCACCTCCAATCTAAGTTATGTCTTTTACTTACTTTGGGGGGTTCCAAGAGAAGTTCATGGAAAGATACAAGTCGTACTTTTATGGCTTCTAATACACTCTTGTTGACTGAATATGTTGAGTGGCTCATACCCGGGGGGCAAATCTCTATGTGACCTTCAAATCTAGAACACACACAAACACAAAAACGTTTTCTCATTAGCAGAGCAAGTAAGGGTAGTTAAAATAAGATTAGATCTGTTTCTCTAACACAGAAATGGTAAGCTTACTGAATTTCTACAATCAATTCACCTTTTGCCTAAAAGTCACACTGTTGTTCATCTTGCCCTACAAACTATTACTTACTCTTACCCTTTCTATAAGCCAATACAACATTTCAGCCAAATGAAATTGGAAATAGTTATGTAAGAACTACACTGAAGACTTCCAACTGACACAAACACCCTCAATGTGACAAATAATTCCATATTTTTGCTATGATGCATTCACTAATGACATCATTCAGGAGCCTCCCCCTGGAACAAGTGTACATTAGTATTATTTTTAAGAATGTGTATGGGAAGCTTTCCCTTCATGGGGCCATGGCAAGGGGCTTGCATAGCGCAATGACGCTTTGAGCTATGCCATGCAGGGCCACCCAAGACAGACTGGTCTCTCTCTTTGTCAGAGAGCTATGACAAAAGGTGATCCACTGGAGAAGAAAATGGCAACCCTCTCCAATATCCTTGCCATGAAAACCCCATGGACAGAATCATAATGATAAAAGATACAACACTGGAAGATGAGTCCCTCAGGCCGGAAGGTGTCCAGTGTGCTACTGGGGAACAGCGGAGGGCTAGTACTAGTAGCGCCAAAAAGAATGAAGCAACAGGGTCAAAGCCGAAAGGACACTCAGTTACAGATGTATCTGGTGGTAAAGGAAAGTCTGATGCTGTAAAGAACAATATTGCATAGGAACCTGGAATGTGATTACCTATGATTACCTATGGTCAAACATGAGATGACAAGACTGAACATTGACATCTTGGGAATCAGTGAACTAAAATGGACAGGAATGGGTGAATTTAATTCAGATGATCATCAGGTATACTACTGCGGGCAGGAATCCCTCAGAAGAAATGGAGTAGCCTTCATAGTCAATAAAAGAGTAAGGAAAGCAGCACTGGGATACAATCTCCAAAATGACAGGATGATCTCAGTTCGAATCTAAGGCAAACCATTCAACATCACAGTAGTTCGAGTCTATGCCCCAACCACTGATGCCGAAGAGGCCAAAGGTGACTGGTCCTATGAAGACCTACAACACCTGCTAGAACACACACCAAAAATGCTGTCCTTTACATCATGGGGGATTAGAATGCTAAAGTGGGAAGTCAAAAGATAACTGAAATAACAGGCAAGTTTGGCCTTGGAATACAAAATGAAGCAGGGCAAAGACTAGCAGAGTTTTGTCAAGAGAACATGCTGGCCATAGCAAACACTCTTTTCCAACAACCCAAGAAATGACTCTACACGTGGACATCAACAGATGGTCAACACAGAAATCAGACTGACAATGTGCTCTGCAGCCAAAGATGGAGACATTCTATACAGTCAATAAAAACAAGACCTGGAGCTGACTATGGCTCAGATCATGAGCTTCTTATTGCAAAATTCAGGCTTAAATTGAAGAAAGTAGGGAAAACCACTAGGTCACCCAGGTATGACCTGAATCATGTTCCTTATGAATATACAGTGGAGGTGACAAATAGATTTAAGGAACTAGATCTGATAGACAAGAGTGCCTGAAGAACTATAGATGAGGTTCGCAACATTGTACAGGGCAATTCCAAAAAAGGGCAATGCCAAAGAATGTTCAAACTACTGTTGGGTTCATTTCACACGCTAGCAAAGTTATGCTCAAAATCCTACAAGCTAGGCTTCAGCAGTATGTGGACTGAGAACTACCAGAAGTACAAGCAGGAACTTGAGATCAAATTGCCAGCATAGGCTGGATCATGAAGAAAGCCAGGGAATTCCAGAAAAAAAATCTACTTTTGCTTCATTGACTATGCTAAAGCCTTTGATTGTGTGGATCACAACAAATTGTGGCAAGTTCTTAAAGAGATGGGAGTATCAGACCATCTTATTTGTCTCTTGAGAAACCTGAATGTGGGTTAAGAAGCAACAGTTAGAACAGACATGGAACCACTGCTTGGTTCAAAATTGGGAAAGGGGTGCAGCAGTATATTGTCCCCCTGACTATTTAATTTATATGCCAAGTACAACATATGAAAGGCGGGGCTAGATAAATCACAAGCTGCAATTAAGATTGCCGGGTGAATATCAACCTCGGATATGCAGATGATGCCACTCTAATGGCAGTAAGTGAAGAGGAACTAAACAGCCTCTTAATGAGGGTGAAAGAGGAGAATGCAAAAGTTGGCTTGAAACTCAACATTAAGAAAACTAAGATCATGGCATCTGGTCCTCTCACTTCCTGGAAAACAGATGGGGAAGAAATGAAGGTAGTGACAGATTTTAGTTTCTTAGGCTCCAAGATCACCATGGATGGCGACTGCAGCCAAGAAATTAAAAGACGCTTGCTCCTTGGGTGGAAAGCTATGGCAAATCTAGACAGCATACTAAAAGGCAGAGATATCACCCTGCCAAGAAAAGTTTGTATAGTTAAGGCTATGGTTTTCCCAGTTGTAATGTATGCCTGAGAGAGTTGGACCATAAGGAAGGCTGAGTGCTGAAGAATTCATGCTTCTGAATTATGGTGTTGGAGAAGACTCCTGAGAGTCCCTTGGACTGCAAAGAGATCAAACCAGTCAATCCTAAAGGAAATCAACCCTGACTGCTCTTTAGAAGGCCAGATACTGAAGATGAAACTCAAATACTTTGGTCACCTAATGAGAAGGAAGGACTTATAAGAAAAGACCCTGATGCTGGAAACGATTGAAGGCAAAAGGAGAAGGGGACAGCAGAAGTTGAGATGGCTGGATGGGATCACTGGAGACCTGGGTGTAGGCTTGGGTGTACTCCGGGGGATGGTGGAGGACAGGAAAACTTGGAGGAATGTTGTCCTTGGGGTCACAAAGAGTCAGGCATGACTTTGCAACTGAACAACTACAATGGGAACATTAACATTAATTATGTGCAAAAGGTGAAACAATTTATACATTCATCATTCCCATGAATTTACATCATGATCAATTTATGCAAATAGTACCATCTTGTATCCAAATGTTGCCAGAAGGTGAGATAAAAAAGTGCTATCCTAAACCACTATGTTGCCTTATCAGGGGAAAACAACCATTAATATATAAATTGAAATTTATTCCTTGTTATTTTGAATCAAGAAAATCTAATAAGGACATCAGAAAAATACTCATTCAGAAACATACTTGTAAGTATACTGGAGTGTGGGATGAATAACTACTACATAACAATTGCAAGACAATGTATCATCAATACGGTAAAGACAATCTTACGTTGGCCGTCTTGTTTCCAGCAAAGTCAACAGTATCTGAATTGCACTGACTATCGCAGATTCATTTTTCTCTTTATGAAAAATATTTGATAGCAGCTGTTCAATTATTTCTTTTCTAAAAAAGAGAAAATATTATTTGAAGTTTAACAATCTCTTTAAGATATATTTTCCAGAAAAGTTACATGAATGGCCTGCAAATATTCCAAAATTACTTGTTTAAAACAAAATAAACAACAAAAAAATTCAAAAGCCAAACTGCATCATCCCTATAAACATTTTCAATATAAACTCTAACCCTTACAATTGAAGGTTTAAAGCATTTAGGTACCAAGTGCTCATAACCTAGGAAATCTATGATCACATGAAAATGAGTTTAATAATTTGGGTGTGGGGTTTTCAAGGAAACCAGACTAATAATCATTTAGGATTTGTTAACTGCTCTTTACCAACTAGATATGCGAATTAGTTCTCTAGCCATCTCCCCTATGTGCCTGAAAGCAACACTTTCAAGCTACACACTTGTGAGAAGGTATATTCACTTGACCAGCATAATGTCTCATCCATTATGCTGATGATGTTAAGTCACACATGGCACAAAGTATTCCAATAATATACTGCAAGCACTACCTCACCAGACAGAAACACTCCTTTGAGCTCTATTTAAAAGTGTATATCCTAGACATAACAGATGGAACTGAAGGCATAAGTAACTTTAATAACTGCTGAAGACAAAAAGTGCAAACTTTAAATAAGTTTCCTTGGTATCAGTGTTATCACCTTTGCAAACTACCTACTTTAGCTCTGTCCAAGAACCAAATGACCTGTAATTCATTAGAATGGTACAAGAACAATATATTAAGATCAACCCAACTATGAAGAGTCAGTTCAAATGCAACGAAAAGCCATGTTTTAGCATTATGAGGATGACCAGGTATGAGTCTTAGGTTTATGTTGTCAGTCCTCCCCTTTCTTCCTCATTTTGTCCATGAGGGGAACAAATCTAAAGCTTGTTTGTGATGTGGAAGACACTAGGATTCCTCGTTATTTCCTACTATGAGTAAATTATTTTGTTCATGTCACTTACCTTCCAAATTGGGATATTAAACCAGTTATTAGTATGCAAAGAAAAATAGAGAATTTCACCAGATTCTTTACCCTATCCCCTGAAGGAGAACTGTTGCTGAACCAAGAAAGACTTGGTTCAGCAATTGACTGGGAGGTACCTCTCATTTCCTCTCCAGAGACAGATACTGGCAACAAAAAATGACAGCAAAAGAGAAAGCCAAGCACTACCCAAGGAGTCCAGTGATGACAGCTAAGTCCATGTATAATCTGGACCACTCACTGGCAAAGAAGCAGAAGAGGAATCTTCTACTTGTTGCCATCCTATGGTCCAGAACACTGAAGCCTAATAGAGCACAGGTCCACTCACCCAGCAAATGGGAAAGAGAAAAATTAAGCCAGGATTGTAATATGGACTGAAGTATCCTCTGCCTAAATACTACAACAAATGGAGAGAAGACCAGGGTGTCACCTCAGACAGAGCATTAGATCAGCCCAGGTCACAGCGAATTTCACAGAGCATGCCAGGATTCCTTCAGAATGGGTCAGAGTCTTAAAAGGTTGAGCTACCTGGAAGGGAACATTTTGGTAACTATTCTACTTCTGACTTTGATTCCATAAGTAAAGGAAAAGGCTGTCAGATGAGTTGAATTCTGTAAATGAAGGTTTTAAAGGGCCTCCTAACCTTTAAGTAATGCCACCCTTTTGGCTGCTGAAAATTAGGGCAAAAGGAGTTTCTGTTCATGATAGAACAAGAGTGGACACTGGAAATTAAAAAAGGGGGTCCCAGAAGAGATCCACTCATGATGGAAGATACAAGAAGGCTGGGTTGGTGGATAAGGTTACTGAGTTAACAGGGAAGGCCACCGGTTCAGACACCCTGCAACTTCAGGTAATAGCAACAAGACAGACAATTTCAATCTAATGCAAACTGAACCTCCCTCAGTGGTTAGATTGAAAACCTGGTAAGTACTTGGAGAATTAAGCTGTTCGGGCAAAAACAGTTCACTACACAAGGGATGCAATAAGCACTGGCACTGGAGGAGTGTTGATAATAGGAGGTGAGCCCCTACAAGAATTCTGACCATTGTGAGGACAGAACAGAAAGCAGCCCTCTTGACAGACTGTTACATGTTAAGACCCAAGTCAAGACTATCCTGTAGGAAGACTACAAGAGTAGGCACAGACAGCTTGATGCAGTTATTGAGTCTTACCACTACCTGCCCAGCAACAAGAAGCCTACCACTGCCCCTGTCGTCAAGACCTCAGAAAACAAACACACACACAAGGCAGTCCCAAACAGTGCAAGCTAAATTCACCTGGAGAAAACTGCCTAGCCCAAAGCCCAGTACTAAGTAAAAGCAGGGCAAGCTAACAACTTACCAGCTTAGTAGAGGGTATGTTTAGGACAGAAGCATACAATAAAATAGGACTCAACCACTGTCAGCCGAAAGCAAGAAAATGGCAATTTGTTACAAACCCCTGCCATAAGTCAGGAGTGGGGGTGGAAAGCATATATAATGCAACTTCAGTAGAAAATCTGCAGAGTAGGGTGGCCTAGAACTTGCTGGTTGGGAAGTGGTCAAGTGAAAGCCACGTTCCAAACAAAGTCTACCAAGTACAAGATAGCTTGCAGCACTCTCCTCAGAAGAGAGATGATTCCTGGTGTAAATGAAGACAAACTGCAGCCAGGGAACAGAAGGAAGAGATGAGCAAAGAGCTAGCTCACCCACCAAAACATGTCAGCCTCTGGTCCAAGAAGTGAATATCTAGGAAGCTTATCCATTCAAAACAATTTCCACTCCACACACAGCAGCAGTGCCACTGCTGGCAACCTGCCCACTCCCATTCATGTAGCCCTCTCAAGCATCCCAGTCCACTACCTACAAATGTATGAAGTTGCCCAGTCACACCACTGAACATGACTATCAAAACTTATCGGCAGTGGCTCTCTAGGGTGTTAGGCAAATTTTTGCAGCCCTACCTGGAGATGCCAAAGGTTGAACCTGCAACCTTGTGCATGCAAAGCATGTGTTCTATCACTCCTTCCAGTAAGGGAGAGGGGACAGAAAAATCCTAGAAAAGAATGGTGGAAGGAAAATTTCTTAATTCTGTCCAAAAGCCTAACACCTGATAAGGGACCACAAGTACCAGATAAGTACTTGCTCCTCCTGCACCTTCTTTTTCAGACACTTTGCAAGGCATGGGTTAAAAGTTCAGAGCCAGAGGTAAGCAGAACTTGGCTCTACAGCTCACTTTTGACTTTAGAATCTGTTCTATCTGGCAGAGCAGACCAAGAGACTTGCACTAGAGAGACAAGAGAAGACAGAGAAATCAGAAGTAATTGCAGCTATATCCCAAGTCAAGACTTCCTTTAATAAAGAATCTTCCACCATGGGAACTCAATGGAGAGTTCTCAAGCATTCAGTATCATTTGTAAATGGTTTGAAGTCACAAACAGAATGTTTAAAACTTCCTATCCCTGTGTATCTGCAGGGAGGGGAAAGACACAGCACCTACTCACTTTCATAATGCTAAGCCATGATCTACTATTATAGCTGAGCAAGGTCAGAACACAGTGCATCTCAAGTAAAGAAATTTCCTTGAACACAGATTACTTTTCCTCTTCCCCCTGCTTTATGTTTTTTTGTTCAAGTCCCTGGTTTTTGGTTTTGCATAGCATTTCCTTAGAGAAGAAGCTGTATCATTCTTCAGAGTTCCATTCAAGATCTCTTGTGCTTCCCAACATAAAAAATACAGTCAACATTACAAAAGTCACACAATAAACACAAAGACAAGCACACATACACATTCATGACAGCCAGGTAACATTATGTCAACCTACTTTTCTAGTGTTGCAAGCAGTGGATCTGGCTCTGAACTGTTTTGCACTTGTAGCATCTGGTCTCTACTCAAACGTATAATTTCACAGAGTGACTGGGATGCATTTGAATGTCTCTGAAGAACAAGAGCACAGTTTATAGATGAAAGATCTGTGATATTTATCAGTAGTTAACACAAAAGTCAGGTTTAATGCAGATTTATCCATTTCCTAGATAAAAACACATATTATGGGTATTAATTATGCTTTAAATAAACTGATTGAGAAGCTGCCCGCTCTTCTCAATAATAGGGTCTAGCACCTTCCTATAATCTTACAATTCTGCCTACAATTCTGATTAAAAAAATGAAGCTTGTGAATTTTTAAGCAAATTACATGTAAACAAAGAAGATTTAAAATGACATACAAATTAACCAAATAGGAACTGTGAAATATATTCCTTACATCTTCATCTTGAGAAGGATGCACAATTTCCACAAGCCGCTGAATAATTTTCTCTTCATTTAGCCACTGCAAAGACATGTGGTAAGAACACGCTTTAAAAAGCTCATTTCTCCTTTGTCTACACAAGGTTGTGCCAAACATTTATGCTGTCCTGCAGGCCTGTATAGCATAAATTCTGCAAGCCAAATGCAGGCCCCTTCCTATTTGTAATGTCCTGGAGGGATTCCAGGCATCCATTATTTGTAATCCTTTCCAACTTTTGTAAAACACTGAAGGCCCAAAGCCAATCAAGGCAGGAGAGAATTCTTGCAAGGCTAGGTTACCACTGTTGCTCCTCTCAGTGGATTCAGAGCTGTATAATACAGCTGGCATCAGCTTTTCAAGCCATGCCACACAGCCCAGGAACATATGAGAGTAAGTATGCATGTGAACTCCTGGGAGCATAAAAACCTTCTATGCTGCAGCCACTGATTTCAGCAAGGACAAGAAGGGGAATCAAATGGCCCAAAAGTGGAGAGGGAAGAAAGATGCAAGAGAAGGACGAAATACAGAGATACCTGCTAGGGTATAGAGGGGGAAAAAAGAGGGATAACATGAAAGATCAAGTGACTTAAAGGCTATGATAAAAGAGGTTAACAGATGGGCCTACAGAGAGATGGTGGAAGAGTATGCTAGTAGATGGGGGAGCAGGGAAACAAAAGGCATCATGCAGTGCACGATGAAGAGAGAAAGAGGACGGAAGGTTAGTAATGTAGTTCAGAGAGCAGTGAGTGGGAAAACAAGTGGATATTAACAGACTGGGGGAAAGGGGGTAACAGAATAGGTTTAAAGAAAAAGTACTGGGCTGTAACAGAAATAAACCTGATTTTCTGTGGTTAAGATAGTAACACATTGGCAAAAATGTAGCAGTTGCCCTCAAAGTGATTTTTGTGCATCTTTACTGTTACAGAAGGAATGGGCAACTTGTTGCCTTTCAGATGTTTTGGATACAACTCCCATCATCCCTCACTATTGGCTATGCTGGTTAGAGCTGATGGAAGTTATAGGCCAAACTACCTGAAGTCACCCACCTCTGCTGCAAAGGGACAATGTTACATGTCTTTTTACTCTCGACTTTTCATTTCTCATATTCAAATAAGCCAAAAAATGACTTTGTACACAGAATTCAAATTGAGATGTTTTTTATCATGTTGAGTGCAGATTATTAAGTGTTACCACCAGCAGAGACAAGCTGAACAATGACTGGTGTTCATATCCAATGAATCCAATGCTGGCAAAGTATTCTAAAACATTTCCAAAACAAATGAACAACATAATTTTCATTCATACATATAAACAATATCAGCAGTTTGTGTTTCAAGCCACGAGCTTATTTATGAGACAAGGAAAGTCTGGAATCACAACAGCATGTTCTGAAAACTTCAGAAGTATAGTTTCATAGATATTTCTCTTCCATGCTCCAAGATATGTTCATGGGATTACAGCCACAAACTTTTCTTTTACTCAGATAATAAGCAACAGTTGAAATACAAGAAATGACTAGCAAATGAAGCAGGATAGATCAGCAGTTCAAATGCACAATTTAAGTTAAGGGTGGACTGCATATGGGCTGCAGGAAGAAAACCACTGTTTCAGAGCTGCTCTTAGTTTCTAAGGGCAGCACAATTGTGATTGAGATTGTTGAGAGGAATTTTTAGCCCCTTTAGTTTACCATCGATCCCATCCCTATGTGCATTTAGTCCTTGACCCCAAATATGGCATCAGATATGCCCCATAAGGCCAAAACGGTTGCTCAGCCCTGATCTATGTGGTTAGCAAAAGCCGTATTTTCCAGAGGGTGTAGGAAATGCAACAAGGGGATCATTTTCTTGCTCTATTTACTAAGAGAATTAAAAGGGTATCTCATTAACCATTAAAATTCAGCTTTAAAAGACAATGCCATTCAATGTTACTCTTACAGTTGACTCAACCCAGAAGTTACTCACATTTAATACTTCTTGTCTGGGCTGTGGAGGTTCTATGCATGTCAGCAGCCTGAGTAATAAGTCCATAATAGCAGAGGTCCCTATATGCTTTATAATGAGGTCTACAAAATCATGCTTTTTCTTTAAGAAATCCACAATCTGTGAAAGAATTTTTTAAACATGAAAAATAGTTTATAGCAAGCTGTAAAATATTATGAAGCCAACCACAATCTGCAAGTTAATTTCAGATTGATATGATCAGTTTTTCACTGGCAGTTTACAGAATACTGACATGCTACATGCATGCTGATACGTATAAAAGGATGAGTGGGGTAGTCCTGTCCACCAGTACCATGTAGTTAGCCAGAAACTTTAGCTGAAAGGTTAACTACGAAGGAACAAAGGCTTCAGGTTGAAATGTTCACCCACATGACTAAAGCAGCAGCACCTCCTGGTGGGTAACTATTTCTGATATACAAATGCAACAAATGAAATGAAGTTCTAATATTGCACTCTCTACACATGCAAGATTATGCCAGATTTCAATGAAAATGAGTGTTTTGCATAATATATCACATTCATGACTTACATGGATTCCCCTTATCCCTACTCAAAAACCTCACTATATTTTTTGTATTAAAATATATAGCAAGAGTGAAGTTTGTTCCTCTTGATACAGCTTGTCCAGTGATTCAAATTCTGAACTGTCAGTTCTTCGTCGTGGCCTCTGTGCATCACACATATGGGTACTGCGCCTGCGCAGTGCCTTTGGCTGGAAGATTGATAGCTAAGGGTTTTTGGCGGGAAGCTCCGCTCCCCCTCCCCCTTGTGGCCTATAAAGAGCGGAGTGTCCGCCATTTTGTCCAGTCTTTGCGACCGCCGTTCACTGTGCCTCGTGCTGCTTTCGACTTTCGCTTTGGCTATTCTTGGTTCTCTCCTTATATATTGCCCTTATACTACTTTCCCCTTACTTCGTTTCCCGCTTCTGTGTAATTTTTCTCGTTATTTCTTCTTCGATCAAAAAAAAAAAAAAAACCCAAAAAATATATACTTACCCTCTGCACTCTCTTTCTTCTTTTCTTCTGCAATGGCGCAGCGAGTGGCTTTCCGCAAACGTGCGGACTACGGGTCAAAAATGGCACCTACTGATCTGCATGACCTATGCCTCCTCTGCCTTGGAGAGGGGCATAGGATGGATAAGTGCGTTCATTGCCTAGCCTTCTCAAAGCAGGCTAGGAAGAACCGCGAGAACCGGCTTCAGAGGCTCCTTTGGGATAGGGCTCTGATGCAATCAGACCCACTCGTCTCTATCCCAAAACCTGGCTCTGCTTCTGTGGCTCCACCCTCACGCCCTTCGGATGAAGGTGCGCCTGCTTCGGTGGCCCCTTCTGCTTCACCAAAAAAGAGGCATGAGAAGCGGAAGCATGCCAAAGAGAACCCGGCAGGCCATAAGAAGGCCAGAAAGAAGAAGGCCTCTAAGCCTCCAAAGAAGGCTAAGTCCACGGACCGTTCCCGACATCGGGACTCAGAGCCAACGGGACCCTCGGTACCGGTGGCGGTTACGATACCGACCCCGCCCGAACCAATCCTTCAGGAGGCCATGCGGGTTACCCCTCAGGGGACTCCCCGATGTGCGGTCGACCTCCCGCCTGCACCCCTTCCAACTCTACAGGGGTCTATCTCGGATGGGGAAATCCAGGACTCCCCTCCTAGAGCGAGGTCACCGACACCGATGCCCGCGGTGACACTGGAGACAGAAGCTGGCCTGTCCCCACCAGGGAATCGGAGGAGCCGCTCGGTAGAGCAACGCCTGGAGAGTTGGCGTCGTCCCTACTACCAACCTTGGGGAGACCCGCTGTGGGGTACTACCCTGCTCCCAGGGCGCGATCCTCACCTCCGCCCCGCGACCAACCGCGGTCTGTGGATTCGAGGAGGGTGCCACCTCGATCTCCGCAAAGCGGAAGCAGCTGCTCCTTCTCACCGGCGGAGTCATCATCCTCTGCCCCACCATATTACGGTGCTGATTCGGATGACTCTGAAGTAGACTCAACCTCCCCGGACGTCATGGTGACATCCCAGGATCCTGCGTCACCCGATGAGTCACACGTCTCCTTCACGGAGCTGATGTCGAGACTTGTCCAGTCCCTGGAGATCAACGCTGCCCAGCGCCTGGGACCATCGACGGACAAGTTTTACGACGTCGTCCGCGGGGAGCAATCAACCTCCATCATTCTGCCGCTTATAACTACCCTGTGGCAAGCGATGACGCAGCCCTGGGACCTACCTTCACATCCTCAGCCGACGTCCAGGAGATATGAGTCTATGTACAGGGTCCGGGAAGAAGACATCCCCTTCCTGCTAAAGCACCCAAAACCAAATTCGGCAGTCGTCGAATCCTCGCAAGGCAGAGAGGCGAGGGGACATACGGCGCCGACGGATAAGGAGGGCCGGAAAATAGATTCCCTGGCCAGGCGAGTCTATGCTGCCTCGGGCTTAGGACTTCGCATTTCCACCTACGAGGCGACGCTGGCGTGAAATCAATATTTTATTATGCAGCGCCTCCACAACCTCGCCTCCACCCTCCCAGACCACCAGGGTGACCTTGCGAAGGTCCTAATCAAAGAAGCCATGCAGGTCGTGGTGCAGCAGTTGTCCACAGCACGTCACCACGTGGACACTGACTCCCAGGCCTTGGTCGGTGCCGTTTCCCTCCGGAGACACGCATGGCTTTGGAACTGTAATTTCCTGGAGGAAACCAAGTGGCGAATAGAAGAGATGCCTTTTGATGGTTCTGGGCTCTTCCATTCACGTACCGACCACAAACTCAAGAAACTGCACGAGTCAAGAATGACGGCGCGCAGGATGGAGATCCAGTCACACAGCAGACGTAAGTGGTCCTAGAATCGGCCATCCTACAGGCAGTCATACCAGCAGAGACAGCTGCCGCAACACCACCAGCAACAACAGCATCAACAGTGCCGCCGCCCTCAGCCCCAACAGCACTTCCAACAGGGCCACCATCGTTTCGACGATCGAAGGCAGCGCTGATGTGACTGGCGAACCACTCCTCATGCTCCTCTAATACCCACCCCCCTCTCATCTGGGGATCGGCTCCGAAGCCAACTCCCCATCTGGGAGTCCATCACATCTGACCGGTGGGTATTATCCATCGTTCAACACGGCTATCGAATAGAATTCAACATCGTTCCTCCATCAAGTCCAATCCGGTCTACTTCATGTTCGCCGGTACTTCTCGATGAAATACATCAACTTCTCCTTAAAGGAGCAATTCGTCAAGTATTTCCATCTGACGGACTTCACGGATTCTATTCCAGATACTTTACGGTCCCCAAGCGGGATGGTGGTCTACGTCCGATTTTGGATTTACAGGACTTGAATTAGTTTATTATGCCGAGAAAGTTTCGTATGACCACCCTTCAAAATATTTTGCCGTTGTTAAGGAGAGGGGATTGGTTCACCTCACTGGACCTGAAGGACTCCTACTTTCATAATTCAATTCATCCAACTTAAAGGCATTTCCTCCGTTTTGCTGTTGCAAACCAACTTTATGAGTTCACAGTTTTACCCTTTGGACTGGCCACGGCTCCGAGAGTTTTTACCAAATGTATTGCTCCTGTCTGTGCCTTCCTACGCCTTCAGGGCATACAAATTTACCCGTACCTCGATGACTGGCTGTTGGTCTCGCAATCCAGAAAAGGACTCCTAGACACCATCCATACAACCCGTACCTTACTAGATAGTCTAGGTCTACGTATTAATACAGAGAAATCTTCTCTTCTTTCAATATAGACGCTCACCTTCACTGGAGCCCGCTTGGATTCGACGTTGGAGAAAGCCTTCCTCCCTCAGGACAGACAGCAGACTCTCGCTCGCCATATCCATCGAATTCGACAAGAGGGAACAGTTACGGTGTGATCCATCCAGAGGGTCCTGGGGTATATGGCCTCCTCAGTTGCCGTAGTTCCACATGCCAGACTTTGGTTTCGCCCACTACAATTATTCTTCAGCAAGGTGTATCATCCACAAAGAGACCCACAGTCGAAACAGATTCGGATCCCGTCTTCCGTGCTACACTCCCTGTGCTGGTGGCTGAAACCGGCCAATCTTGTGATGGGAGTCCCCCCCCCCTTTTTTTAAACATTTTTATGCCGCCCCATTTGCCAAAGCCTCAGGGCGGCTTACAACAATAAATAAAACCAATAAGTTAAAATATACATATAAATAATCATAATAATTTAAAACACACAATATAAAATAAGCCGCCCTGGCCAGATAAAATTCAGTGGTATTAACATTTAAAATGTTGCTTAAATAAAAAGGTCTTCGCCTGGCACCGAAAAACAAATAACGACCCTTCAGGGTGCGACCTCCTTCGATAACTCTCGGTACCGACGCATCTCTCCTAGGATGGGCGGCGATATGCTCTGGCCTGTCTACCCAGGGAACGTGGACTCGTCTAGAATCCACGAATCATATCAACTTCCTAGAGCTGCTGGCAGTCTTCAAAGCTCTTCGTTCTTTCGAAGACCTCCTTCATCATCGGATCGTTCAGATAACTTCGGACAATATAGCGACCGTTTTTTATCTGAACAAGCAAGGAGGGAAGAAATCACTGACCTTAGCCAGGCTTTCTATGAAAATTTGGGACTGGTGCATTCACAGAGACACATTACTCTGATGGCCGTTCATCTGGCTGGCACAGACAACATGCATGCGGATCTTCTCAGCAGACACATCTTCACTTCTCACGAGTGGGAACTGGATCCTCGTACGTGCAACCACCTTTTCAGGCGCTGGGGGTTCCCCGATGTGGACTTATTCGCTACTCGACGGAACAGGGTATGCGAGACTTACTGCTCCAGAGCAGGAATCGGACAAGCATCCCTAGGGGACGCATTCATGATCCCTTGGGACAACATCAACTTCTATGCTTTCCCTCCGATCCCTCTTCTGATGAGGGTCATAGCAAAGATAGTAAGTGACCATGCATCGGGGATACTAGTTGCCCCTTGGTGGCCACGTCAAGCGTGGTTTGCGAAACTGCTCGACATCTCCCATGGGAAGTTTCTTCATCTTCCAGCACTTCCATATCTTATAACGCAAATGGACGGCACACTTCGTCACCCGGACTTGCTCTCATTGAACCTGACAGCGTGGCGGATTCGATTATTGACCTTCCATTGGGGCCGACGACGGATTCGAGAGCCTCGAATCCAACAGCTTCTATTAATCCATCGGTATCGACGATTACTTTGACCGCTTCGGTTCCGATTCTCGAATCTAACCATGCGGGTGCCTCTCACTGCCACAGTCTCTCCGTACCATCCAGTTCGAGACAGACCCCGTCGAATTCAAACCCAACGCTCTTGCACCCTGAGATTCAGCATATTATCGACTCTGCCCTAAAGCCGTCCACAAGGAAGTCATATACGGCTAAATGGAAATGTTTTTCCATCTTCGCCGAGTCTCATGCGTTCTCCCCACTTGTCTCATCAATCGAACAAATTCTTCAGTTCCTTCTGGAGTTGCATCACTCTGGACTGTGTATACGGCTGCAATAGCCTACCGTGGCTTAGTCGACGGATCACCCCTATTTTCTCATCCTATCCTCAAAAGATTTTTGAAAGGACTGTATAACCTTAATCCATCGATTAGACCGGTTATGCCCACGTGGATCCTTTCTGTAGTTCTACAGGCCCTTATGAAGGCCCCCTTTGAACCTTTGGCGACTGTGGATCTCCGATTAGTTTCGTGGAAGACGGCGTTCCTTGTAGCTGTCACGTCAGCCCGGAGGGCCAGTGAACTTTGTGCCCTCTGTGTCGACCCTCCTTATCTAAACTTCCACAGAGAAAAGGTCGTTTTACGTCTCGACCCATCTTTCTTGCCCAAAGTCTCTACACCTTTCCATACAGGACAAGACATTGTACTGCCTGCCTTTTTTCCATCGCCATCGAATCCCTTGGAAAGATCCTTGCACTCCCTCGATGTTCGGCGTTGTTTAGCCTTTTACCGATCGCGAACGGAGTCTATTTGGCGATCCAATAAACTGTTCATCAAATATTCGGCTAGAGATGAGGGCGACCCAGTCACTCCACAAAGGCTTTCTAAATGGATAGTCCACACTATTGTCTTGTGTTATCAGTTAGCTAAGCTCGAATTGCCTTCAGTTCCTCGAGGCCATTCTACTAGAGCTGTCGCTAAATCTTCTGCATTCGCATCCGGGGTTCCGATTGATGATGTCTGCAGAGCCACTACTTGGGCGAATCCCTGCACTTTCGCCAAGCATTACCGTCTCGATGTTCGGGCTAGATGGGACTGCTCCTTCGGTAGAGCTGTTCTCTCCTCCGTCCTCCGATGAGGACACCTTCCTCCTCCTTTGATGGTAAGCTTGTTAATCTACCCATATGTGTGACTGCACAGATGGCCACTCGAAGAACATCAGTTACAGGTAAGCAACCTGCTTTTACGTAACAACCCAGAGTTCCAGATTTGGTATTATATAAAGAACATGTACGAACAGGTATATCGAAACAAGCATGCACTCACCTACAACTTGTAATTTATTAAACATAGGTTGGTAGCAACATCAAAATCAGATCAGTAAGTGAATTAAAAATAACCACATAAGAAAACTGTCTAAAACACAGCTTTGCAAATTAACAATTAAGTAATTACCTGTTCCGGTTTTCTACTAATAAGGATACTTAGCACCTTGCTGAAGAAACTGGCCAATAAAGGATTTAGAGGAGGCTCATTTAAAAGAAAACTGTACAGTTTTGTTAGTAATGATTCCTCTTCTCCCAGTCTATCATTAATCTGTGAAACATCTGAAGTAAGCAGCTCACAAGATATGTTTGGATACCTAGAAAAGACCAGGTGACATATTCCTTTACTGGAACAATAAACTTGTGTTGCAGATTTCTATTACATTTCTATTACCCAATAATAATTCACCAATCATATACAGTTTTAACACACAAAGCACCGATACAAGTTTTACTTGAAAAACCATATGCTTAAGTAAAGCATTTGGCAACTCTTCCTGTTTTGCAACATACTGTCAAGAGGGCCACAGGACTGTTGTGTATCTAGGGGACCAAAGAGTCCTTGGATTCCCAGATCAGAGGTCAGAAAAAAGCTCCAACCCTGCAGTTGAGGATCCTTGCTCGCATCCACCTCCCTCACAGCTGGCATGAAAAGAACAATGCCAACTACTTCTTCCATGTAGTAAAAGTAACTTTTTAAGAGAAAAGACAAAGAGAGCATGCTGGGGGGCAGGGGTCAATGACCAGGTCCATCAGCATACAGTGTATCTTGACAGCACTGCAGCTTCCTCTCCCCATCTGAAGCACTGTGGAGCAGAAAAAAATGGAGAGACAGCACACCTCCTCCTTGCATAGGGTGCATATAATCCTCCACGTTTGGTCATCCCACCCTGCAATGGATTGCACCCTTAACTTCTAATGTCCATAGAAAATGACAATCAACTTTTATTATCAAGTTTCATTAATTTTCTATTTGACACAAATTATTCCAGTAGAGTTGTTGCAGACAAATACTGAATTTGACCGAGTATAATATATACTGGGAAAACTGGTGTGTCACCCACACTAGATAAAATTTTATTTATACCAACAAAACTAAACATTTTTAAGAACAAAAGCTCAAAACACCTCATAAAAGCCATTGTAGCAGATTAAAGCACACAAACACGTACTAATGAACAACAAACACCCTCCCTTGACTAGCCAGTAGCATCTAAGGCCAAAAAGATATATTTTTCAATCCCTTCAAAAGACAGGAAAGAGGAACAGTTATGGAGCTCTGGGAAAAAGAAGTAATTCCAAAGCTTTATGAAACTGAACTAAAGACCTGCTTTTAGCAATGAAAGTTCTAAATTTACATTCCTCCTTTGTGTGAAATAGAGCCTGCTTTCAGGACTGAAGTTGGTGTATAGGTGGAAGGAGGCTCAGACAATTAATACAGACTTTATACTTTACTAATCTTTACTAATCTTCTTAGTCAAATCAAAGAGTTGTACAAAATGCACTGAGATATGCCACCCTCTCCACCTCGCTACTACCACCTGAAAAGCCTCTAATAGCATGCTCAAGTAACCTGACTTCACCCCTTCTCTACACCGTGATGCATCTTAAGCTTTTCCTGAGCATCCTCAACCTTCAGGAAATATGTTTAGGTCATTGCAGTAGGCTGTATTGTACATACAACCCAATGAGTTTTAAGGTAATTCAACTTTCCTCAATGTGGCACCTTCCAGATCCATTCACATACAACAATTAGCTGGAGGATGCTGGGAGTTGCACCTTAACACATCTGAAAGGCTCCAGGCTGAGGAAAGCTGGGATAAGTCATACTATGAAGAGAGTCAAGTCATAACCCCTAAACCACATAGATACAACATGCTTATTCTGAACCTCACTGAAACTAGTTGCACTTTCAGTACACAACTTCTTTTGTGGTCTTCCCTCAACTTCAAACTACCACATTAAAGACATTCCCTACTTGTATCTGATTTTTTCATCCATGTCTTGAGGTGGCTCTTCTATAATGAATGAAACTAAATCTTCCAGACATTCCGATTTCAAAAGAAACTCTATAAGTTTGCGGTTTTGAGCTTTGCACTCTTGTAAAACATCTTCTTCATCCATCAATTCCTTCAGAGTTACATCTTCTCTCTCTAGAAGTGTGTCTATGTGGGATGATGAGTGAAGATCAAATTTCCAAAACATGCTGGTCTAGAGAAAATAAAGAGCACACAGCTTTAGTTAAGGAGTAGTTAGTAGTGTTTGTCTCTCATAGTCCACAGGAAAGCCATTCCCACCACACCCCTGTACTTAACTTGCACATAGAAGAAACTACAGAAGCAAGGTCAGAAAGCAGGGAAAGATGAATCAGTGTGGAAGAAAAAAAATGGACTGCAGGGAAGATAAATGGGTATTATTAAAGTGCCTTGAATGATAAGCCAATGTCTTAACTTTTCAGTGAAATAGTTAGAAAGTTGAAGAATGTTAATATTTTGAAATAACACATGACATGTTAATGTAACAACAATAAGGAAAATGGTAATTTAACTTGGAATTTTCCAGCATTTTCTTGCCCCTTTTATTCTAACTTTACAGGCATCAAACTCAGAGATTTCTAGTTACTAGTTGGGAATCAGATGAAGAAACACAAGAGGATTTTAACTTCACCACTGCTTAGCCAAGCTCCTCTCATAAAGTGACCATGCACATTAGTATCCTTTATTTCTATGGATGCTATTACCAGGAATAGAATTAAGTCCTTTATTAGCCTGCACCACAAGATCTGGCTTTGCTTTCCCTGGTTTGGGGTTTAACAGTGTATGAAACTCACCATAAGAGCAACAATTCGAAGGCAATTTATCATCTAACACCTTAGACCCCACATTGACTAACAGCCTGAGTGACTGATGCAAACATAACAAAATTAAGCATATTTTTAAAAATGCCTTAATGCACATAACATTTCAGAAACAGTTTACTTCCTTAAAAAGTCTATGTCACATGATGCACATTAAAAATGATAATGCATTAATGAAATAGGGTCCATGTTCAGAATTCTTTTCCCACTTTATAAAAAGTTATAAACCAGGCCCCAGCTGCTGGTCTTCAAAGAATCCCTTTAAAAATGTGTATATAAGTCAGATTTCAATCTGAATCCATACATGTCAAACCAAGGTAGTATATACCATTATCGGCTCAACACAGCCTTCTCCAACCTGGGTCCTTCCAAATATTTTGGCTTATATCCAATGATCCAAGCCAGCATGACCACTGGCCAGGAAGATGAAGGAAACAGCAGTGTAAAACATCTGGTGGGAACCAGGTTTGGGGAAGACTACACTGAGCAGAAATTAGCATATGCGCCACCTTCGGCTCCATGAGGGAAGAAAGTCAGAAAATGGTAGAATATAAATGGAACTTCACAGGTCATTCTCACTGCTAAAATACAGATCAGTTGCATCAGCAAATCACATTTATGAGGAAAAACAGGAATCAAGTTAACCAAAGTGTGTCCTGGGCACTACTTTAAAATTTCTACATATGCTAGCATTTCTAAGCCATCAACAACTTGGTAATTTGCCTGCTAACAGAAATAAAGGGCGATTGCCCACTGACAAGCACCCATGCAGAGCACTCTGTGAAGAGTGCTATGTGCTGATTTTCCCATTTTGCTCTTTATTAATTCAGCATTGCCACATCTTTAATGCTCTCATTTTAAAGCTATGACAGAAAGAAATAGAACTCTGAATTACCCTGTATTAAACCTGCTCTGGATCACCTTGTATTAAACACAGGACAGCACTCATTTGAGCACGTGATGTTCTCAGCACTAAAGAGATATGTATGTATGTGGCTTCTGTAGAGAAATCAGAGTTAACAAGGCCAGGTAAAATCTATGGGGCCCTACCTCTGATGCACAGGCCTTTTAAAATAGGCTGCAGTCTAACATATTTATTTAGAAGTTAATTCCACTGAAACCAGCAATGTGTGTTTCCAAACGCATGTGCTTAGGATGTTAGTGCCAATCATATCTAAGATGTGTTATATCTAGTTGGTATAAAATAAGGGGATTCAGAAGGATGACTTGGAATTTTAGTCATGCAAAGCCACCACCACCATCTTAATATTCCATTTTCTTTGTGGAATATCGGGTGCACATCCCTGATATGTAGTATTTGCTGTTTTATATATATTGATATTTAAGCCTAAGGTATCACATGAAAAGATTAAAAAGGCAGAAATGACCAGAGGTTAGCAATCAATAAACACTAACCAATTAAAATATTAGTGCACTTACACAGGTTGTTCAAGTTTTATACATCAAATATCATTCTCTCTCTCTCTCTCTCTCTCTCTCTCTCAACTCACTCACTCAAAGCTGAAGTCAAACATTGGCTTATTTGTCAGGCCACTGCAATCTTTTCTTGTTGACAAATGCAGGTTAACTTCAACTTAAAATGCAAGATCTACTCTATACCCATTAAAATGTTTTCAACACTAACCCCAAAGAACAATAAACAGTTTCAAAGATGGCGTTTTCAGAAGAACATCTGTACTTACAATCCCATGCACATTTCCTTAGATACAAGTTCCACCAAACCCAGTGTGGAAGTAAGCATCCACAAGTAAGCATGAATATATCATGCCGCATGAAAATCTTTTCCAGAGTAAAATATATAATTACCACTATTTTCAATGAGTTAATTCAGGAAAGATCAGCCGTAAATAACAAAAAAGAGCATACTACTGCAAACATGTTACTGTGTTATTTCACAAACTTTCTCCCAAGGCAAGCTGTTTTAAGGGCTGGTTTCTCAATATGGCAGTTGCTGACCAGATTACTCCATCACTTTTCAACAGGAGGCCAGGACCCTTGGAATAAGGAAAAACACCACATAATGGATCAAAGGGCAAATTATAGGAAACCCTTAAAAGAAGAAAACTTGTCTTTATTAAACTTACAGCATTAAGACTATCAGGGGCAAATTTAGGTTCACTGTTCCAGTTTGGAAATAGAAATTGCAGAGTTTACTACAAACCAGCCTTCAAAAACTACAAATCTACAAATGTGTTGAATCACAGCACTCACCAGCCCCAGACAGCATAGCATTAATCATGTTGGCTAGGTATTATCGAAGTTGTACTCCAACACATCTGAAAGGCAGTGGAAGGCTGTCACAGACACAAATGCTTTTAGAATCTGTGCTATTTGGCCTCCAGTTCAAGATGCAAAGAAGCTTCCTAATTTTGTTTGAAAGTCAGGCCTGTGAGTTCTATGATGTTTACTCACAAGGACAGCATGTACAAAATTGCAGTCTAGGCTAGGACAAACAGTATATTTACACTAGTATAAATTAAAAATAAGGTTCAATAAGAGGCTAAAATGTTTCACATGTTAATTTCATCCTTTTCAGTCAGACTATCCTCATCATGCTCATTGCCATAAATACGGGCCAAGTTTTAAGGAAGTCGATAGTATATATCTAGCTACTCAAAATTCTAGTTAATTGTGTTTAACTGTTGCAGTTAAACACAGCAAACCCTCTAAATATTTTTGCATACTTGGTTTTGGTTAAGTAGGTTAATCTAACATGTTACTTACATACAAGAGTTTTAAAAACTTTCCTGAAGTTTAAAGCACTCCACTTTTCACTTTCACATACGTTACACAAGTCAATGACCAGCTATTTCTCTGCAAAGAGTGGGAAAATGCTGTGGTTACAGCTAAAATCATACACATTGGGTTAAAAGTATAAAACTTGGCACCCTTATACATGTATCCCTTCTGAACAAATCTTTCTGTGCTACAGTCGAGGTATGGAAATGTTAGTATAAGGTAGATGATAGATATAAGGTGTTTCAGTACCCAAACCTGACTAATGCAAAGGTGCTATGAAACTAGGGCCCCAAGCCAAATCCCAAACTGAATATATGCATGGGGCTAGGATGAGAGTCTGTGGTTCAAGAAGCCCATGGTGATCCCTCCTGGCACAGAGAAACTACAGTCATCATCACACTAACGACAACTGCCTGCCTCCTCAACATCCACTGTAAGAAAAGAGTAGAGAGCTGTGCCCTTGCTGCTTTAGCCTTCTTTCAATTACTTCAAAAGCCTCAACTGAAATATGTAATCTATGTAATTAACAAATGTACGCTATGTTGATAACAGCTGGTTCAACAACAACGAACTTTCTTTCATGGAGAGGAATTTTTCCCATTCAGACACAGTTAAAAGTCTTTATGACAGCAACTGCACTTGCACCTGTTTTTGAAAAGTACATTTTATTGTCATTATCAACCATTCCACAACTGTAGATAAAGCTGATGTTTAACACCTGAAACCAAACTAGGCACCTGGTTTGTAGCTGACTAACCACTGTATCAAATGTTAATCTATTCTAGAATAAATTCATTAAAAGCTAGACTAACACTAGATAAAACAAAATACATTTTGTAAAGTCCACAATTAATCTACCCCATTAAATGCTTAGGAGAGTGGCTTGTAGACAGCAGTCGGGTAACAGCCATCCCTACTGCTGGCTTGACTGTTAAGTCATGAGCGGGCAACTTGTAGCCTGAAACATCTGGATGGCTGTAAGATGCCCACCCCTGCTCTCATCATGTTGCAATACCATGCACTCAGCAGACAGAAGGAGACTGTGTCTAATGGAGAAGAGACCAGATGTCACTGCATGGTGTGTAAAATTCAAACGGGGGGACTCCAATTTCAGTATTGATCAACTGTTCTTGAACTTGAGTCTATACACTTACACAAATTGGTAAGAACAATTTGAGAAGGAACTTTCACAAAGTGTCAACCACTGTTACAACTGATTCCACGGGTCTTTATCCTTGATCATGTTACCATGTACAGTGGTTCTCAGTTTACACTAGAAATGTGCAATTTACCACAGTCATATCCAGTTGCATATCAAACTTCTGCACTGTTTATAGCACATTATATGAAGCACCTAGCCTGCATCAGGGCACTCTTGGCTAAATATATGACTAAGTAAACACCTCAGTTAACACAGACAGAGGATGCAATGGGAGTTACAGAGAAACTATCTCTGAGGCACTGGATGGTAATAAGATCTGAGGTACAGATAACACAGAAATTTGAAGATGCTCTCCCTAGCAAGAAATGTCCAAGTCAATATGATCAAGTACCGAGCAAAAGTCCAAAGAACTTAACAGGGCTAACTCTGTTCACTCACATTAATGACATAAGAAACCAATTTAGGAAAAACAAGTCGTGACCTCTTAACTTTGGCTACCAAGGACATAATGAGTTCCAACTGAAAGGATACAATCAAAAGTACATACATAGCAGCTCAGGAACACTAGAACCTCTTTTTAATGAGAAATATTTAATAATAAAAAACAATTAGAGAGCACAGAAAACTATAACCATTCTTCAAAAGAAGAACTATAGATGTCAAGTCACCTTTGCTAAGCTAAAAAGGCACAGGCCTGCAGCCAAACAGAGGACAACCTGTAGAAGCAATGCAGAGGGTTGGATTCAATGGCCTTATAGGCTACTTCCAACTCTACTTCTATTCCCTAGATTGTGCACTGCTATCCCAGAACTGTCATGTTATCCCAAGGGATTTTTCAAGCATGAGACTTACTCATTGTTTCCAACATGGTCTAAGCTCAGTGAAATGAAATCTGCAATAAAGCAGAAGAGAGTCAAGTCCTTTATTACCTCCAGATACAGGCCCCAAAGTGGTTATGATGGTACTGTGTAGTGCCATCATTGGTCAATTGCTTTTCTCAGGAACCAGATAAAAATTATTTGGCAAGTTTTGTTGCAACATCTGGAGTACACAGACACAGGCTGGACATTGTATAGAATGTTTCAACCATCTAGGGACTGCACACAAAAAGGGAAGGGTCTGAAGTGGAAAATGGCTCCTCCAATAAGAGTTGCTGGTAATCTTCACAGCTTTCCTGGGTGTCCATGAAAATCTCCAGTGTGATACATTGCCTAAAGTATTTGACTAGGACTTAGGAGACCTGAGTTCTAGTCCCTAGTCAGCCATAATGTTCATTGGAAGGCTTTAGGTCACTCACTGACTCTCAGACTAACCTACCAAATAGAATGGTTGCAAGGACAAAATGGAGAGGAGGGTCAGGTATACTGCTGTGGGCTCTTTCTAAGAAAGTCAGAAAATTAATGTAACCAATATAAATAAGTAAATTTGAGTCATTTCATCTGCTGGAAAAAAGTCACCTCAGTTTAAAAAGTAGACAAAGAGGTACACAGCATCCTTGGGGTCTCAATATTATGTTTATTTAGCCAAAAGGAAACAATTAGCATTCAGTAATGCTTGCACAAGAAGGCAAATATGCAGCTACTATTGTATACAGTACACTGAATGTATTAAGTCTATTGTATAAAGATCATGATTAGGACTACACTTACAAATTTAGTCGTTATGCAGGTGTGAAATTATTATCCCTCCCTACCCCACAAAAAAAAGTCAGGTAGGGATACATTCCACATGTCAAAATTGCACTGCAGACTCTGGCAGAAACCCTGACATGATTCTGCTAATACCATGATGCTATTTAGAAAGTTTGTAAGTACTTTTACATGACAGTAAAACTGAATTGCACAAAGTATATTAAGTAAAGCAGCATCTGTTTTCAAGAATGTTATAAACCTCAGAAAACACTGAAAGCACATGAAAAGGGAAAACAGGTTCAGTACACCAAAGCTGAGAGAGGAAAAGCAGGTCTTAACAGCAACCCAAATGAACAAATCTTAGCCAAATGCAGGAAAAGTGCTATGAAGCAAACACTATGCAGAAGTCTCAACTAAAAAGAGAGTTACAAATTGCTCTTTGACAACACAAAGAAAAACGCTATTGTTCAGATATGTTGCAACTATATTAACAACATTGTTTTCTACTGAATCATGTATATTGTTCATATGGCTATATCATGAATACACAAAGCCAATGTGGCTTGGGAATTAAGAGTGCTGGACTGGGAACAACATAACTCAGATGACTTTACAACAAGGAACAACAAAGACTTGGAGGGAAACATGGTCCAATACTGAAAAATCCTCACCTCAAAAAAAAAAAAAAAAATCTTCACCTCAACATCAGCAGGAGGAGGACTTCTTATATGCCAAATGAACGTTTTTCATAATAGAGCGGAACCTTCATAGTCACAAGATATAGGTTCTACACCCCCCAATGGATGCCTGAAACTGCAGAACGCCTGCAAAAGTGGAAAAACCACAAATACCTCTAGAAAAAAGTGAATATCTCTAGAAAATATGAGTATCTCTAGGGACTCTGTTTGGAGATGCTACGCTCTTTGTCATGGCACTAGCCAGCCACAATCATGTATTTCATCTCAGTGGACACAAAGTCTCTAGAGATTTTTTTTCCCCTAGAGACATACTCTTGTATATTGGTGTACAAGAGGACCCCAAAACCAGAAATAAGCAAGTAAAAAAAAGGGGGGGTCATCTTATATGCCCGGCATATGACAAACACCGGAAAAACAGTCCAAAATATTGCACTTAACTTATACATCAGTATATATGGTGCTTTTAGTTTAATAAAAGGTCGGGAACTTACTTGCAGTTCTCTTGGCTTCGTCTATTGATTCCC